TGTTCCACGTCCGTCTCCTAAAACGGGGGTATCCGAGGCAACAACGAGTTTCGCTGGATGCGTCGACGAACTCCTAAAACATCTGGGAATCGCAGCTCACCTCCCTTTTTCTCTTAGGTGCACTCCTCGGGGCCGGAAAGCGCTACGCGCTCTCGCCCAAAAGCTATCTCGCCGTCAGAATTTGCCCAAACACACTCTATTCCCCCCAGTATTCTAGTAATACAAAATTCTATATGTTGGTCGTGTCACAGTGAACCTCGAAGACTGCAATTAACACTCTCCCAATGAGCTTGGTAGACTGAGCATGTCGCGACAGTGAGTCGTGTTTCCGCTTTCGCGCTGGTACAGTAGTTGATCGCACGACATGCAGGTCGTTGCGGAGTTGATCAATACGCTTAGTCTGTATAAATATCCCTGCAGCTTCGACATAACATTCGCACGAATTCTGTAGCATTGATAAAAGACATTTATGTTACTCGACTTGCATACGTTTTGGTTTTACACGAATATACAAGAAAACCGGTGTATTCAGCCATCGAAGGACGTGTATAGGGAAGCCTACAACTTTGACGCGGGACGCTCGCTAAGACTAGGACTGATTTCAACAACTACGACACGTTGTACGCCTATCATTTCACACTCGTATCATACCGATCGCCTATCCAGGCCTCAATGCATCTCACGCGACCTCCGGATAACTCTGCATTGTACGCCTGAGTCCTACTTCCGGAATCCTCGTCTTAAATTCAATAGCGCACGGCCGTTCATTCGGCATCACTCCTGTCATGAACCCCATATCATCCAGCGGCTTCGTAGGATCCAAAGTGAGTTGGAAGGCCCAAAGAATAAGGAGCGAGTTTATGAAGACTGATCTATACCAATCGAGATGAGCTTAGAGGATCATGTACGTGGAAGGATATCTTTACCTGTTCGCAACGTGCAGACCGGGACATATACTTGATGGAATGACAGTCAGAGAAAGAATGCGTTGGAAGACGATGCTTACCGCCGACCAAACCCGTAGACGAAGAATTTAAGATCGTCTCTCATGCGATCTTGATCGTCAAGCCAGCGCTGAGGTCTGAACACATCGGGGTCAGGGTAGACATCTGGATCTCGAGAGATAGCCCTGACGGTGGCTATCAGATACTTCGTTTCTCGAAGAACGAGGCTTACCAGTGGTTTCCGAGTACCGAAGTCCCGGCGGGAATGCGATAGTTTTCCTGTCAGTGGATGTCAGGTTATTCGGACGACAAATCATTCAGAAAGCACTTGCCCAAATCACGTCTTGAGTCGTTCGGTGAGGAAATCCTGCGGGGTGAACTGCGTAAATCTGATGTACAGACCCGACAATGAAGATATCCACCATTAGGAGCCAATGGTCTCCATCTCAAAGTTTCGGAAATAAAGGCCTCCAGACGAGGAAGGCTTGGTTGGTCGGCGAAGGTCGGCGCTTTGGTGGAGAAATCATTGAATTGGTAGAAGTGCTAGGGTAAATGGAGCTACCTCGGTGCCTTCCGATGACCGCATCGAGCTCGGCCTGTACTTTTGCTTGTTCCTCGGGGAAGCACGCGGCCGCCATTAGGACCGTGCATATTGCCACAGCAATCTGGCACCTTGATATCAGCTACATCTCTTCGGAAACGACAAATCAAGACACCTCACCGAATCGGATCCAGCTCCAAACAAGGTGCCACCAAGAAACGCCATCTCGGTCTCTGTCAACCCGTAGGAATGCTCATTTTCTAGCATATATTTCATGAACGAAGGGCCGACGTCCACATTGCTCTGCTGTGGAATGATTCAGACATAATCTGAACATTGAAAGGGCAACGCGTACTAATTGCTGTTTAACATGGTTCAGTTGCTTGGTGTAGAGTTTCCTGGTCCTCTCAAACTCCCGTTTTAATTCTTGGCCGTACCAAGGAAGGTATTTCAGCCACGGTATCGAGTCCACCAGGTAAGCACCAGGGTGCAGGACTGTACGAAGGGTTTCAAAAATCTGGTGAATTTCTTTGACTTCGGGATCAGTTGCAGACGTGGGCGTGGTTTTCCCATATGTAACTTTCATAATCGTCGCCGCGGCATAACTTTAAAATACTCATCAGTGATCTGCTATCATAGGGCGAACCTAGGAAAGCACTTACGTTGTCGCATGGTCCTGGAAGTTGTACGGATCATCGAGAATGCACAGGACCGTGTTTTTTCGCGTGGGCCATCTGCAGAGACTGATAAGCCTCAGCCGCTTTAGGCTGGAGATGCGAATGAAGTGCCCTGCGTCACAAGTAAGATAGGGGTTATTTGGACTTTCCCACCGACTACAAACCTACGCATCCGACGAAACTTGTGCCCAGCATGCATAAATCCAATTGACTGTCCGCCACTAAGGATTTCACCAGCAGCAATCATGCGAGGACGGTCAGCTAACAATCCGCCCTGCTTCTCCATGATATCCACCACGGCCTGCAGCAGAATGTTGAGCCTACATACTACGACAACTTCAAGTTAGCATGGAGGGACCGACTTTGTGACGGCCGATGATAACAATGGTCTCAGTTCCTGAACGAATGGTCACCAAGGGACCGTACTCGTCAATCCATCCCGCTACAGTGATAAATGAGCTGATCAGCAATGGGACACAGTTAGCATTAAAAAGACGATGATTAAAATATGAAAATTTACTTGCGAAGGGGTAGGAAGTGCCCCCTAAGACTCCAAGTGGGAGGAGAAGGTGGAAGAGAGAGGCCGCTCTCTGATCTAAGAAGGTAAGCCCAAATAATCACTCCGGCTGTCCCAATACAAGCCGTAGCACCAAGGACGAGCTGCGTGTGGTGAGAAATGGGCAGGTCAAATAGCTGAAGCATGACGGATTACCAATTGGGAGAAGTGGGGTGCAATGGATGGAACTTATCGATAGTGCTTTCAACTTTGGGCTTTTAAGTACTGCACTAATCAATTAGATTTTCCCTGACCACTGGCATGGTACGTGGAGTTCTGAAGCTAGGAGGAGACTAGTGTGTCTCAAGTCATACAGAGTATGTGGTGCCCTGTTCTGGGAACTCGGAGCCTTGCTCGGTTCCGAGGTGCAGTGAGATTCTGTTGATTTGTGAGCTGTGTCGCGGCTTTCTTGATTTGACTCCATACTTGCACTGCTCAACTCACTGTTCAACATTCCGAGTTTCACGGACCCTTGGAAACCCGCGCGGCGGCCCCAATGGCATTCGGTCCAGGGTTCGGCCTTTTCCTCTGAACAAAATCCATGGTGACTTTTCGAAGAACCGGACTGAGCCGGACTTCGGCAGCCTCAGTCAGTAGTACCCAGTCAGACTCAGTCGGAGTCGCGACGTCGGACCCGTTTCTTTGCTGTTCACTTCAAAACAGTAATACAGTAGATATGCTCATAATGCATAATAATGATAATTAATAAAAAAACGAAATTCTACCATGGTGCGTGTTTTTATATGTCGAAAGTCGGTTTGTTATCGAATTTCTTTGGCATTTTTTTTCATGCATTATGAGAATGTCGACTGTAATACCAGTGGCTAGAAGTCTTCGACAGACCAAAAATTCAGATGATCGCCCTTTACACGTTACCATCATGGACCCTCGATACTCTCGGGCTCACGTTCTCTCCCCAGCCGGACCTGCTACTAGGTGTGATTGCATCGCACGACACACAGGTCGCTTTTATTGTATCACTCGGGACGCTTCGCTTCGCTGCGTCACCAGCTAAAACATGATCTATCGTGCAGGCACGAAGTCACAAAGGACTTGCCCAGACTTTATAAACGAATTCGTCCGTAATTGGTTTGGCAGTCTGATGGACGCCATCGAAAAAATACTAGAACTTGAACGTATCGAGCGCGCGCGAGACCATCTGGAGGCAGGCACGCTACTTAACTGGACGCAATAGCAGGACTTGGTTGCGAAACCTGTCCTCGCTGTTAGCTGCGTGCTGTCGGACCGCCTTCGAAAATGTGTCTGGCCAAATGATTTAACACCAGAAGCGGCCTTTCTCGTAATGTCCAAATAGAACACAGTGGGCTTTGTCGCTACTATGATGAAGGTCAGATCAAACAGGGCTTCCGATGATCCACCGATCAAGACCCTGGGCAGCAGCAGGCTGACTGATAATGTTGGGTTACGAAATGCAGGTGCATTTCCTTCTGCACGCACGTCATGTACGCACATGTACTTCGATGTCGGCTGAATACACCGTTGTGCTCGGACGGGCGGTGGACGGAAAATTTTGGCGATGGTTGGCGTAGGTACCGTCCAGTTTACATGTGGAGTAAGCATGCTGAACAACTCCGTAACGACCTGCATATTGCACTGTATCAATGCGAAAGCAGAAACACGACTCACCGTCGCGACATGTCGGGAGAGGGTTAATGGCAGCACCTGGATGATCCGTAGCTTAAAGGCTATTGGTATACGGCGCAACGGGTGAGTCATGGGGTTGAACCCCGGATACAAAGCGGACGACTCGTACCCACACCCGTCTTACAAGTAAGACCTTTGCAACAGCTTTCGAAGTAGTCGTTGTCGCAAACGTAGTATTTAGTTAAGCATGCACTAACAGAAATAGATGTTGTCAAAGTAGTTACAACAGCGAGGAGGAATGAGAAACACATGGCTTGTGCTAGGTAATATGGGATGCGCTGGAAGGGAGATCTCGAATAATGGCTCTGATACTGGTAGAAGGAAGACAACCTATTTTTATATCCTAGAAATAGTTTTTTTTTTGCGAAGTACTCGGCAGTTCTATCAGAATGGTCGCGCCTGTTGGACTTCAGGTAGAGGCAGAGTCACAGGGTCGGCGGATAAATAATCTGGAACATGTGAACTGCAAACGTACTATGAATCCCAATACAACATAGGGAGTAGCGACGGAGATGCACCTTGTAACTTAATAAATCTACCACGACGAAATCTCGAACAAACAATAAATTCTCCCGCACCCTGCAGAGTCACCTTAATCATGTCGAGCACTTCCCGTGCTACACACTACTGCTAGTTGACACATGCACGCGCTCCTGGAAAGCAATTGAAGTCATGGCGGTTCCTGTGTCGGAGTCGGCCACGAGCTTAGCGTTATATTCTCGAACGCTAAGGATCAGGCGTGGTCCCAGAACAAACAGCTGCACGACTGTAAAAATTTGAAGAACACCAAGATAAATCTGAGTTCCGAGGGAATATATGTCCTATGGAAATGATGAACCATGGTGGCACGCAGAGGTCAGCGACAGATTGCATACCGCTGACATCGTTGAAAACGCATAAGCGAGGCTGAAGCCAGAAAGAGCAACAAAGCTAGCATGTGCGATGCTTCAGCGAAAAGGGACAACCACATTCACCATTACGAGCTCACCCCACAAAGTAAACCACGTGGGTTTTCATCAACACCGTGAAACAGTCCCCGATAATGCCCCCTGTCAAATTTCGTGGCAGTTCACGGAAGTGTTTTATGGCAATCCAGACTGCAAGACACAACGCGAGGACCTCCCATACAGCGCCGATTATCCAAGTGATGGTATCCAGAATTAAGCTACCTCCCTGGAAATCAATAATGCACTGGTAGGTGCCAGAGAGAATGAGGACATCTGGTATTCGTCAATGAGCCGATGCACTCAATTCTTTCATCCATAATTAATCTTACCCGCTGAAATATGCCTCATTACTATCACGGTGACCACTCCGTCGGTGATATTGACAGCCAAGAAGACGACAACGAGAAGTATCAGAACCTTCCTGGATCGCTGATACATGGCATGTAAGCGAGCAATGATGATGACTTGTGTCATATTCCAGTCAAGCACTATCACTGAGGTATTGCGCGTAGCTCACCGCCCAGCATCACATTTACGACGACACTTATCGCATTTTGTGCGACGCTCATAATAACACCTGACAAATCCAGTTAATGATCAGCCTCGGAGGATCACGCGCTCGAAACAAGCTCACAGCTATGGCGGTCATTATACTGAACCAACAAGCTGGTCAAGAATATCACTCACCCCTGAATCAGAATGCAGTTAATTAGACGGGAACGATAGGCATATGTGAACAATACACACTGCATCTGTGACCGGGATTGTCGGAACACTGTCTGTGTTCCATTGGTCAGAAGAAACATGCAGTGTATATAAGGATACACACCTAGTACGCTGAGGCTATTGTGAGAGATGATTGATTAGCATGACATCAATTACTTAACCCTCCAAACATACGCAGCATATATTATTCCAACGTAGCGCACCTAGGATATATTCCAGTCAGCACGACTTGCCGATCACACTTATAACACGAGCTACACACACTAAGATACAGAAAAGTCATGAGAGACCAGCGTTGTCTCTGTCGCGGGTTAATCGAACTTTCATATTGTTTTTCTGACGTGGAACTCCGCTTACCCAGATCAATTCGACCTGTGAAATCTTTCTCAGGGAGATGGCTGCTCTGACAATGGCATCAACCTACCTCTTGTCCGAACGTCAGTGCTGTAAATACCATAAGGATATCAGCGGTTCTCTAATATTACTTTACTCACCCCAGTCGTATATCACCCCAGCAAAGGTTGCAACTGTGAAACCGCAGCCAAGTTCAGATCGAGACATTACGGTCTTCATGCAACTCCACAAACCTAGAAAATAGCTGGAAATACGAAATGCATTAATGGACGGCCACCAACTGGGATCATTTGAAACTAGGGTCATACTGTTAGTGGATGGGTGTGATAGAGCGGTGAAGTTGGTGGATGATGTATCGCCATCCAGAGCTTTTATGGCGGAAATGGCATCGTATAAGATGATATCTGTTCGTGCCTTGGCTGACCAAAGTAAAGATTGTCGCATGAAGTACATAAAGATTCCACCAGTGAAATCGTGTAGTTCATCAATCCAACACGGGCCGAAGTATGATGCGATCATCGTAAAGCCTGCAATCTCAAATTTCAATCGTCATAAACAGTGCCTCTACCTCGCTGGCCCGGCCAACTGCGCGTAATAGCTTGTTGAAGGTCTCTTGAAAATGTTACATTAGTACAGAAAGGTCAGAGATGAACAATATCAATGATAAATGCCACCAAACAGATAACTCACCGACTTGGAGTCGACCTGTTCATCTATTATTAGTGGAGTCTATATCATTATTAACTCGCGCTTATCGTAGGAAATTGTGGAGCAGGCATGTGGTGAGGATAGGGAACGACAGAGCCGTCTCACCCAGAACCTTTTCTGCATGCTCCGCGACGACACGCGTCGTCTGAGGAGTGGATCCATGGATACAAAAGCTGTGCGTAGGGAAGTCGGATGATCACGCTCAACGATGATGTAGATGGCGAAGATTGCTGCTCGGCAGGTGTACCAGGATGATTCGGATTGGGTGGTGAATCGTGATTAAGGAGGAATTGGTTGGCGATATGGGGTAATTGGTCGATGATAAGTGGAATTGGTTCAACAGTTGATGGCACAGTTACTGATGCACCGAGGGAAGGTAACTGGATAACCAAAATCAGAACTACATTGCACCAATCCATACGGCTCACTATCCGAGCACTATTTCTTAGTTTTGTCGGGCCCAAAGAAATTCAACAGGACCACCACGTTTCGCTGCCTTCCCAGCCTTGGGTTTAGCCCCGCGTGAAGAGTTCGTCTCCTTGATCTTTGAATTAACTACCGATTTTTCCTCCGCCTCATCCTTCAACTTCGGTTCTGCCTTTTTCTTGCCTTTGGACTTCTTTGCATCCTCAGGCGGAGCTTCATCTTCGCTGACGGATTCATAAGAAGAATAATCTTCCGTTTCTGGGAAAACCTCATGAGCAAGGCGCATTTATCACTTTGGAATGGAATAGAAAACATACGCATGTAGCCTTTGGCATCAGTGGTGGTACGACTTTTCATGACACGATGTTTCTTCAAACCGTTGCGCCCGACAGGGACCACTTTCCTAGATTTCCTCTTCTTAGCCTGCGGTTTAAGATCCTCTTCCTCTTCCTCCTCGCCAGCGCTAGATGTCAGGAGGTCAACATCAGTTTGGTCGACCTCGTCACCAGTATCGTCTACCACATCGTCGGGGCGATGAGAGGACAAGCGAGACACCCTGACAACTTGATCTGCAGACCGATTAGCATAACAGCAGGTACGTTCTGTATCAACGGACCATCATCAATATCCATCATCGCTGCAAGGCTCCTCTCAGAGTCTGAAGTCGACCGAGTAATCTTTTTACGTGACCTGCTCGGGACTTCCTCATCCTCATCATCCGACACAATGACACCCTTTTTCACTCTCGCATTGCTCGTTGCGGTAGGGATGGCTTCCTTGTCTTTAGGCATTGGCTTGTCTTCGATGTCTACATCCGAGTCTGATTGATCCGGTGACTTGCGTTTAGTAGCTCGCTGGAGTCAATGAATGATTGGCCATGGATGTCCCGAGAATGTAATAATGCCAACGTACCTTTGGCTCCACTACATGTAGCTTTGAAATAGATTTCTTCAAAGATGGCAGACCCGCGTCACCATTTCCCGATGGTTTATCAGCCAACTTTGCCGAAGATGACGAAGCTTTAGTATCTTGCTTCGGTTGAGGCTTCGCCTTGTCCTTAACGTGTGCTCCTGATGCGGTCTCCTGCTCCTTACTTCTGCTCTTACTCCAATCCTGTTTCCCAGTCGGCTTAGGTTTTTCTTTCGGTGCGGCCAGTGATTTTGCATGTTCCTTGTCCTTTGATCCTTCCTTATCCTTACTCTTTTCTGAAAGAAGTTCTGACTTGCGCGGGAAAATAGAAGGCTGAGGAACGACTGGCTTCGGCGCATCTAACGTTGTCTTTGAGGATGATGCTGCAGAAGCATTTTTGGGTAGCCGTTTCTTGGTCTATATACCTTTGTGAGATCGTGAAGAACAGTTAAAATATTCGAGAACAACCTTGACGCCTGCACCGATTATCTTCCCGTTGAGTGCGGGGTTGCCCTTCGCGTCTATACCCCGGACAATGACCGTCGGTTGACAAATCAAGCCAGCGTCCTGCCAGAATATTAGTGCGTTTAGTCCGGCTCTGTGCGTGGCACCTACACGGAGGACTGAAGGGGACAAGCTATATATGTACACGGAATGTATACGCTCAAATTGAGCTTTCGCGTCTGTGGCACAACGCTTCATTAGTGTCAGGGCTGTAGAAGAGTACACCAATACGGACCTTGCAGTCCATCACAGTCCACCAGAACTATCTTCGAGCGCATTACAGATTGATGCGCATCTTCATCATCGCGAGTGATATCCATCGCATCGAACCAGGCTTCCATTGCTACACAGCGGAGCAATCTGGCCAGAGACCATGTACGTCGCGAACGATGGTGTATCGGTGTTGGCTGTTTCAGCTAGATACGCTGCGAGTTCACTGTGTAGATGTAGCACACCATTCAATACGAAGTCAGCAGGGTATCTTACTTCTTCGCGTCATTGACGTGAATACCGAGCTCGCGACTCAAGGACCGGAATGTGACCTGATAAACAGAGTCAGGTCAATGTTAATCGTCAAGAGGATACGCGTCCCTCGTACCACATTTTTCTTAATGAACAGCTCTTTAGTGAGGAAGTCCTTGGCCCGTGTGGATGTCATGGAAGACAAAGTAATGAATCGTGAGAATAATTGACATGGACGCGTTATAGACGCGTCGAACTTCATTTATTCAATGACCGCGATGTGCCTGTAGCTCACAATGCAAACTACTTATTTACAAGTGACTATAGGTCTGTCGACGTATAGTGGGCTTTGTTGCCTCTGTGACCCTTGGAGCTATTTCAACGACCCTGAGCAGTACTAGATGAAAATCAGCGAACGGCACTTACTGAAAATTGGGATAAATTCTCGATCCATATCCTGCTGAAACCACTGAAATCCAGTTTCGTCCTTATCCAACACAGCCTCGATGTAAGGCAGAGAGGTTATCTTGCAAGCTCTCCCCGACCGTGATAACCATCAAGTGAGTCTTCGTTGCATCAATCCCGTCGCTCAAATATTAGTGCAACTTCTACATATGCCAATCTACATTGCGAACACCATGACTTCGACCACTCTCGCGTCCGAATGCGAGCATGCCAGGACCACCCCCCGCCTCACTGTTCCGAGGCTCATGTCTGAGCATCTCGAGTGTGCGAAGGTGAATCTCTCATATTCTTTCCTCCAGGTTGTGTACTCGGTCTCTGGACGACACGCCTTAAACTGACAGGTAAGCCCTTATTGTATCGACTTTGCCATTCAGTTATGAGCTCATTCACAACATATCGAATGTTCTGACCCCCGTTCCGTCCAAGTGTGGCTTCCATTCCCTCGAATAGCAAAAAAAACAAATTGCCAAATATAGACTATGATTCAACGGCCAGCTGTCACGCCGAACTCTCCGCAACGCCGGAGGAGAACGAGCTAGAACGGGGCGCACCAAGAGACTCAGGCGCTTGGAAATAGGTCGAGGTAGCGCCATTTGTGGTGTAAAATGCTGACTGGAATTCAGCGTTGGCTAGGGCTTCATTTCTTCCTGTCGTAAGTCGTAATTGAGAAGTGCAGTGACCAGTCTCCCCTAGTCAGACCATATACTTAGAAGGAAGACAGTTGTTCCTTCTATTATGAGTCAATCGAGCCATGTACATTAGAGAAGTTGTACAAACTGTTAGTTCCCCATAAAGCTGGATCACCATGCATCGGACGAGTCTCAGTGTCACGATGCGTCCATGATGGGCTCAGGGGAGGCCGCTTGCCAGGCTCTACTAGCCAAGTCCACCTTTGTTCTACGACCAACGAAAAGAAAGAAGCGTCAAATTCCTGCTATAGATACATGAACAATACTAATAGATACTACTGCTAGGGTATGATAGCGCCCAGCCTCCAAAAGGTAGTAGTGCATAATTTATCAAAAAAAGAACTACCTGGCAAGTCGCCAAAATAAATAGACTTGATAGTTTATAAATTATTGCTGTCGTGGTGGTTGTATTCACATCGCGTCATTGTGCGTGCTACGTCGTATAGGGATTACGGGGGGCTGTCATGCTTTGGTCGGGGTTGGTGGTCCGTACTGCGGTCGTAAAATATTGATATCGAAATGAATTGAAGAGCCACGATTCCAAGGATGAACCAACATGTGGCCGCTCGTCCTGCGTACTCATGCGAACCCCCATGGGTGGCCTCCACGGATGTCTCTATCGAGCTGCTAGCAGCGAGGCCAATAGCGGATCCAAATTGAAGGGCGCCGTTAAATATGGCGCCAACTGTGCCAGCCATAGATGAAGGCGCAGCTTGCAAAATAGCAATGCTGTAGAGCAGTTAAACCGTCTTCAGAAAACCATGAGGATTCGGAACTTACTTCGTATGTGTATAAGTCAACGTGACTCCTACGGTGCCTATTGAAAAAGCCGGGAACACATACGACCAATAGTTCTCGGGCCTCCCCCCACCAAGCGCCAGCAATACGGTAGCGACCATGCACAATGACAAACCGGTGAGAATAATCCACTTTGGACTGAAGATGCGACAAAGTGGTCCGGTAAAAGTCATAGGGAAAGCTAAGATACCGAGTGGCAACCTAGTGAGAAAATATGATCTTAAACATGAGTGACATGAGGTGACAGCGAAGACTTTACATGTGTATGGCCGACGATATTACCGACCAGTAGAACACACTTTGCCACATGGTGCTGAACATTGTCATCACCGTGTTCCACCAGAAGTATGGCAAGAGTGCAACTGCGAACAGCACGGAGAAGTTGTTGTAAAACCACGTTCGGGGTGGTCTGGTACAAAATCAGTTGATGACGTGCGCGCGAGAATTCCCGGTAAATACATTGCAGCTTTTTCCACAGGCAAGAGCGTCTCCCAGTAGAAAAAACCAACCACCATTAAAGTTGATACGATCAGGAGGACCAACACCATTGGAGATGTCCAACCATTAGTTGAACCGGATGACACAGCGAAGACGAACAAGATGAAGGCAACTATAGGGCTCGTGAGTGATGCAAAGAGGAGTGCGCTGAAATATACATACCGGTTAGAATACCTATGCCGAGTAAATCGAGATTTTCCCATTTCGCCTCTTCAGGCTCAAGAGTGTCTGCACACTCTCCAATTTGTGATGGTATGATGAAAACACAAGCCAGAGCCACCGGCAAAGCTATGCACGCTACAAACCAGAAGACCCAATGGTAAGACGCCCATTGGACGAACATTGCACCGATCACGAGACCGCTAACTATGCAATGGAACCATGAAGCTCGCCATGCATAACCAGATATGCGAGATACTCACTATTAGCGATTGCGCCACAGCCTCCGAAGAACCCTATTGCTCGAGTTTGTTCGAGCGGATCGGGAAATAACTTGACGACGAGTGTTAGGGCAGAGGGAATCGTCATTGCAGAAGCTGAGAAGTGATCTTCGTCAGCAAGAACCGATACACAGGCGAGAATGTTCACCTATTCCAGTCAATGCTCTGAGAACAAGGATCGTAATCTTGTCATCGACAAATCCGGCGCACAGCGAGAGTACCCCCAGGCTGGACACTCCTCCGATGAACACAATTTCTTCTACTTGTCAGCATCGACGTCTAACAGGGGCAGCCTAGAACTAACTTGGGTTGTATACGTCGCTCAGACGGCCACTCTAAAACGACGTGTTGAATTGCAAGTCAGGACTAACGGATGAGCACGTACAATAAGCAGGAATGATGAAAAAGTTAACTGGAATGCACTAAACATCCAAGTGGATTGACTTCCGGTCATATCCATGGACGCCTTCGAGTGTAGGAATCGCAGAAAAGAGAGATGCGAGACTGAAAGCGTCCAAGAATTGAGCAAGACAGAACATCCATAGCAGAACGAGCTTGCGAGTAAGAGAAAGGCCTTTGGGTTCACCACCATTCAGGGATGACGGCAGAAGTGGTGACATTGTGCTGAAAAGCTGCAGACAGAATATTGCAGTCAGACAGTTTAGGAACGCACCACTTGGACCAGCCGACGAAGAGGCAGTAAGTATAGGATTCTTTGCCAAGAACGTGGTATCCCTCATGACCAACTCGAGCAAGAATCCAGACACACAACGTATTCTCATCGCTGGCCGACAGGGGAAATATCCAGAGACCCTAGATACAAGCCACTGGATAATTGTATAGGCTGAAAGTTGCGAATAGAAGCTTGAAGACAATTTGAGATTCATCGAGAAGGCTGGTCATATCCCACTACCTTTAGGTTACTACTAGTACTAAGGTGGTGGATCTTACAAATTTCGAAAGTACTAGCGAGACGACAACATTGGTCAGAAAGAGGTCAACGGTTGATGTATACACGTTAGCTCACCTAGCAAGACGACGACAGCGGTCAGAAAGAGGCAAACCAATTGTAAGATCAGCTTCAAAGTTCAGGCTTCAGCTCCACATAGGAGGAGCGGAGCTTGACCATCCTGATGACACGTGTAAGTGCACTGGGCAGCCACACAAAACTTGCACAAAATAGCACAAAACACTGCCCGCGTCGGGCGGAAGCACTTTCGAGACAGACTCACAAGATACGTCGTGCACGGCGCGCGGTTGATTACCTTGTTACGGGTCACATGACCGTCCGGGCCGAAATAGCTCAGTGGCGGTCCGCGATGTTGTGAAACACGCCAATGACGGGTTGGACCCGGTGAATGTGCGACACAACTCGCTCTGTGAAAATCATTCCATTGCGAGCCCAGCTCCTGTGGGCCAGGGCAAGTACCATTGTGTTGGAGTACCGCGGCCGCCCTTTCGAGCCTGAAGGAAGACTATGCCACGTACGGAGCGTCGACCCCTGTGTTGTTACAGAGCATGCAGGTCCGCCGGTAGTCTCCTTTGACCTATGCAGAGACGCTATATGACATACATGAGGGAAGAAGACCGATTGGCTAAGTACATATACGCTACAGATGTGACCAAAATAGTACACGATTACAAGAATACTAACAAATTACTTACTAGTTGGGTGTAATATTATGGAAGGCATGATGTAAAGCTACTTCACGAACACGACGACGGCGCCCTCCATGGCGATTCCTTCAGCTCAGGTTTGCAAAAAGCACGTGCGGCCCTTGCCCAGTCCTCACGCCTATGTCTGCATGAAGCCAGATAGTTGAGTTGCACAGCCGTGGGATGGTGAGCGTGGAGAATGAACATATATTCTGACATGTCGCTCTGCTGAACCACTGAAAAGGCATTTTCTCCACTTCTGATGAAGGCAGATATATCGACGCAATTATCCGGAGTGACCTGTCAAACGAGTTATTGGACTTCAATGCGGTTTGAAGTATTGATGGTGATACTCACGAAAATGGGTGGAGCTAGTGGGATGATGAAATCCTTCCCATTCCGCTTCGTCTGAAGTGAAAGGTCCCCAGTTGTAGGCCAAGAGCATTGCGAGTGTATGGTAAGTGTCTCAAAGGGAGGAGGTTGATCATCTTTTGGTAGATAGGATAGGAGACTAGGGAGATGATAGCAAGCGAACGACACACAGACACTTTGTTCCAAATCTCTGTGAACCGCTAAACATGCGTACAGACGTGAGAACGTGACACATACATTGGTGACAACTTGCGTTTCGCCCACCGAGCAATTTGAGAGTAAAGTGTATCATCGAGGTCGAAAGTAAGCTCGATTGTCCCGAGAGGCGACTCAAGTCCTTGCCGAAACATCATCACGGCCATATCCCCTCCAAATCTCGGAGAAGTGACTTGCGGAGAGGCATCATCCACCGGAGACAACGTTAATCCTTCTCCCTGGCTTTCTGCGCCCACGTCATCTGAGAATGTAGTCGATGGCTGCCTGGGCGCTGGGGAATCCGCCACTGTGTTTGGCAGAACAGTGATATCAGGGGCAACGTTTTCTGGCGTACCCAAGGGCAGTGTTTCTGAATCTTGAGGTACGTTTTCCGGTTGCGGGTGGCTTATAACAACATCAGCTAAAGTGAGTGCGCGTTCTTCTTCTTTTGGCTCTTTGACGTCCATAGATAGTGTAGCCTCGGCGAAAGGAGAGACGCTCGACTGATCAATAGTATTCGCAGGAGCTGTAGGCTCATTTGCTGTCATCAGTTCACTGGGTAGCGGTCGTGTAGGTATTCTCTTTGGCATTCGAGACGGCCGTAACTTCTCTGCAGGGGGTCCTGTTGCATCATTTACCAACTTAAGCGTATCAGGTGGGGCAGTTGAATCCACTACAGGACTTGCAGGCTTTGAATCAGGAGCAGCCGTGAGCTGATGGTGCGCCTTGAACCATTCAAGGTCACGGTGTTTTATCTGCTCAGACATCGAAGATCCCTGCCATTGGCGCTTAGGCTGGGGTTTTGGAAGAGTCCTCGTGGGGGAGACACTAGGCGGGAGATCTAAGCGAATATCTGAGCAGGGTATCGACGTGGTCACAATCTGCGTTGTAGTCTATGAATTTACATGTCAGATCACGAAAGAACAGCGCATGCGCATCTTACAGGTGATCGAATTGACTCCGCTTGCGCAGTAGGAAATCTAAGTTGCGTGCTTGGGGTCGAGTCCTGGGCAAGTGTGTTTACTGGGGTGGCATCCCTAGACAATATCATGACACTGATGTTCAGATTCAGATCAATACCTGCGTACTTGTATTCATGAGGTGTAGCTTCGCCTTCAGTCCGAAAAGGACGAACGAAGCCAATCAAAAGTTCAGAGGAACTTTGAATCAAGTCTTGGAGTCGAACTACATAACACAGTTGGCACGGCAGGACGCCTATCTGAGATTCAACACGTACGTTGCAGGTCCTCCTCCGTGAAAAACCGTAAGAAAGGGACCACAGTGCGAATCAAAGCCTTATATGTGTCCATCGCGGCCAGTGCTGACGATTCTGTTTTGAGGAACTCGTTTGTAAAGGTCGAATGCGCAATCTGTCCAGTACAAGATAAACACATAGAGCAAGGAACCGACGCATCAACGCACCTCGAGAAGCGCAACGATCTGATGTTAGGAGTCAAAAGCAGTTATATTGAGTCTCGCTTCTGTTAAGCTAATGCAGCACCCACATTGCGGAGAGCATCAGGATAGTACGCTTTATCGGAACCCAACCAGGTCTTCAGCTTATTGGCAATGGTAATATACTCCTTGACATCGTGCGATGCGAGCCTCTTTGCGAAGACCGGGAAAATCTTCGCGTTAGCGACAACGGCAGTATTTTGTCCGCGAGAACTCATGATAGGGTCGTTGGATGCTAATGAGGCCACAGAAGGCTGTCGAACTGCACAGAGTGACTATTTGTAGTGTTTGAAGACTTGGACGGTCCGCTAACCTTGTGTGGCTCATAACAAAGGGTAGAGTTCAAGTTGAACTTGTGGGTGCTTGTGGACCCACAAGACGTGGCGTTGTGGCAACAAAAGCAAACAGCCTTTCGACGTTCGGAAAATCACAAAAATCGACAAAATGACATCAAAATATAGTAATTGATATCTGATTTCTCACCCATTAACGCCCAGGCCTTGTAGACTTGTCTTCATAAGTTTTAACCCTATCTAGCATTCTATGTATGTACTGTAGATCAGTGGTATGTCACAATCGTCTCGTTGGTAATAATCAGAGCCACTCCACAGTCTACACAACAAAATGAGCTTCTTGTCTGACCGAACAAGGCAGCTGGACTTACAGCAGGAGGCTTGGAGGATATATCATAAGTAACACGATTAATTCCGTTTACCTCGTTCGTGATGCGAGAAGATATCCGACGCAAGACTTCGGGAGGGAACATGTACCTAAAACATCAAGTCAGCATTACGCAGGACCAAAAAGTAACACCAAGCTACCAATCTGCAGTCATGAAGTCTTCCGATGTCACCGCTCTTAGGGCAATCACCTGTGAAATACGTTGAGACAATGAACGGGAGAGGTTGCCGTCCTTCAAACCTGTTCGTATGTGCGTTTGTCGCCCATTACGCCAACAGCCTTCACAGGGAGCAAGACAGCAAAAGCCTGGCTGATTTGATTGTAGAGATTCGCCTTGCGAATCTCCTCGATGAATATATGATCCGCTTGCTGCAGGATCTTCACCTGCTCGCGTGTTACAGGACCCAAGATCCGGATAGCCAGACCAGGACCTGGGAAAGGGTGACGTTGAACTAAAGGTGCGGGTATCGACAAGAGTCTCCCAAGTGCACGGACTTCATCTACACAGAACAGTCAGGGTAATGGGTAAGAGGACACCGTCAACCAGACCTTTGAAGAGCTCGCGAAGGGGTTCGATCAACTTCAATTTCATGTCCTTGAGAAGCCCACCGACATTGTGGTGTGTCTTTATGGTCGCGCTAGGGCCCTTAAAGCTGATGCTCTCGATAACGTCCGGGTAGAGGGTACCTTGCAATAGCCATTCGATCTTTCCCTTGGCTTCGGCGCCATTCTTCTCCTCCTTCTCGGCAGCTTCCTCGATCTTAGCTGCTTCTGCCTCGAAGACGTTGATGAATGTGTTCCCAATAATCTTACGTTTCTGCTCCGGGTCTTCAACACCATCTAGCCGCGAGAGGAAGAGTTCAGAAGCATCCACTACGGTCAGGTTGACGCCTAGATCTTTATTCAGCATGTCATTGACTTGCTGTGCTTCATTAAGACGAAGCACGCCGTTGTCCACCATGATGGCGTGAAACCTGGGATGTAAGTAAAGCATGTGTTATAAAAAGGGGGAGGCACACCTGTCGCCGATTGCCTCGTGCATCAACTTGGCTGCGACAGTGCTGTCGACGCCACCACTGACCGCGCCGATGACACGTCCTTTCGGGCCACATATCTCGCGGATGCGAGCGATTTCCTTGCCAATGAATTCCTCCTGGAACCGCAGTGAGCATCGAAATAACTCAACACGGTGTTTACCTTACCATCGTCCAGTTCGTTTGGCATTGACATATATTCAACACAAATCGACCAATGAGCTGTCTTCCTTGTGGAGAATGCGTCACCTCTGGATGGAACTGGATGCCGTAGAATGCCTTGGAGTTGTGTGCAATGGCGGCGTAGGGAGCGGTGCTCGTCCGTCCAATCACATGGAAGTCAGGAGGCATGACGGACAGTTGATCGCCGTGTGACATCCAGACCTTACAAAAAGTTAATTGGCTTACAAGAGACGAGACAAAAACACGCACCTGCATCTGATCGCCGAGTCCTTCGAACAGGGCATCGACAGTGTTTCCCGATTCGCCGAACCTGCTGATCTGCACCTCTGCAAGCCCGTATTCGCGATGATCGCATTTTGCCACTTGACCGCTGTGATTCCAGCAGAGCTCCTAAATCTCGCGTGAGTTTGGTGTCTATCGAGACTCTGGAGAAGACCAAACCTGGAGGCCATAGCAGATACCAAGGATAGGGACACCCAGGGTGTAGATACCCGGATCCGCGTGAGGTGCATCGTCGTCGTACACGGAGTATGGAGATCCAGAGAGGATGATTCCTGAAATTTTGCGTCAGAAACGCATTTCCTGCCGCATTACATGAGCGAACCTTTGGGCTTGAATTTGAGATCTGACAGCTTTGTTGTGCACGGCATAAGCTCAGCATACACGTTCAACTCGCGGCATCTCCTTGTTATGAGGTGACTGTACTAAATCAGTACTTGATTGTCAGTACACGAGATGATTTGAATTAGAACACGGCTCCCTAACCTGCGAACCAAAATCAAGGATAAGAATGGTATCGAACTGATCGTGTATTTCGGCCATTTTAATGATATTTTTTCGAGGACTCCTTGACTTCACGGAGAATGATACGCAGATGTACGATCTCTGTCGAGAAAGATAGTCGAGATCTTGGATCAGAAGATAAGCCGAAGTGAAGCAAACGAAAATTAAGCACCCGTGGGAAAGCTTCATTCGGTCCACTAGTGCATTCATTGCACATCCGAAAGCCTACACGGAGAGGCGATCAAGGCGTGACTCTTGCCTGTGTACTATATCGGTGTTTAGGCGTACTGCGTGGCGGATTCAGAGCCTCCAACAATCTAATCCGAATCGCACATCATGCATTTATGGCTAGTTGATCTGTACCATAAAATGAATTCAAGAATAGTACTCAAGCTCTCGTCGAGTCAACTTTGCATGCGCAGTTGTAGCGTTCTCGAAGATTTGATCAACAGCGACGTTTACTATACCATATGATCAAGAGGTGTACCACCTGTGTCCGAATATACGGGGTAGGTATATGTAGCAAAGACAGGTTAGCTCTTTGCGGTGCCATCCGAGACTTGTTCGTACAGGGGAAAGGTAGGGGACGCCGTTGAATAGTGGAGACCTGTTTCCTTCTACAATGTTTGTTTGCTCACCCGGGTCGATCGCCGAGGGTAGGTCCCGTCCCAATCCAGACTTGTGGCCTAAGGAAAGGATCAGGGCATGGTAAGTATGGTATTTGAAGTTTTGATGAAGTCGAGTAAAACTTCATCGGTTGAGATAAAATCATATCAGTTAATGAAAGCAACTCACAAGCTCCAAACCTCACTACGCTATAACGGCCATGCTGAGGCCGTCCAAGTCGCTTGAATTGATAACTCTGCCACTACATACGTGTTATCCCCAGGGGGTTTGTCTGAATCTCTTAGTGGGAGGAAGGAAAAGGACGTCGGCACAGACTTCAGACCACTCGCTGAGTGAAACATGAGATGTCCAATTATGAAGCGCAGTGTCATCCCTAACCTGCAGGATCACACAACCGTTCTTAACAGGGCCGTAGGTAAGTGCGCCTGTCGCTAACCTGTGGTCTGGTGAAAACAAGCAAGTTTTAAGTTTAACGCGAAGTTAGCGTTGCTTATGTAATAAGCTTCCCCATCTCAACTTGCGCGTCCTCGAATAACCGTCAATCATCATATTCTCAGTAACTAGTACTCTTCTTTTCCTCGCTATGGGTTCGTCTAGTTGCTGATTTTTTCTATGCATATACTTACACTTTTCTATTTTCCAGGAATCCCCAAGGTTCGTCCTTTTATCTGTGAGATGTCTATATACTAAGGGAGCTAAACGTTCTTCGTGCTGCAGTTTTTCCGTTATATTTCGTGAGTCAGGAGTCGTCTATTACCCCATGATATAAGCTGATATTTTATCAGTGAACGGTACCCGCTTACCTCCCAGTTGATCGAGGAGAACAAGATTCCAGAATTTGGTGAGTTATGACACGGACTCGGTGCTCTCGCGCTAAAGTCTTCGAATAGATAACCTCTATCTCGATTTCAATGGAATAATTCACAATTGTGATTAATTCTCTGAGATGCAGTGCAGAATGGCGTGTTCAATTTCATTTTAGGCTCACATCCAAATGATGAAGACGCTCACTTCAGAGTATCCGAAGAGCAAATATATACTGCGATATTCGCATATGTGGACCTACTGTTTGGTAAGATAAAGCCAAAGAAACTCTTCTTTATGGCAGTGGATGGCGTGGCTCCGCGGGCGAAGATGAACCAGCAACGAAGTCGACGGTTTCGCAGTGCCAAGGAAGCGAAGGAGGTCAGAGAGATTGCAGAGTCGAAAGGAGAGAAACTTCCAGAAGAGAAAGCGTTTGATAGTAATTGCATTACACCAGGTGCGTTCTTGGCGGCTTCATATGACATTATGTCATTTATTCCGTCTTAGGTACCCCCTTCATGGCTAGGCTATCTGCCCAGCTACGTTACTTCGTGAACAAGAAGATTACCGATGATGCTAATTGGCGTGGCGTACAAGTCGTATTATCCGGTCATGAAGTACCAGGTGAAGGTGAACACAAGATTATGGAATACATCCGACTGTCAAGAGCTCAACCCGATTACAACCCCAACGTCCGACACTGTTTGTACGGTCTTGACGCTGACCTCATTATGCTTGGCCTTTTGAGCCATGATCCCCACTTCTGTCTCTTGCGAGAGGAAGTGAAGTTCGGGCCTGCCGCGAGGAAGAAGGGTAACATCAGGTATTTCGCAGTTCTCTTTCGTGCACAAGGCAAATTAACTAAACACCAGCGCAAGTCTGGAAAACCTCAACTTCTACCTTCTACATCTCTCGCTGATGCGTGAATACCTGGACCTCGAGTTTCGCGACATAGAACACATTCTCGCATTCGATTACAGCCTAGAGCGAGTCATCGATGATTTCATTCTACTGGCAGTCTTCGTCGGAAATGATTTTCTACCTAATCTTCCAGATTTACATATCCACGAGAACGGACTGGAGCGCTTATTTGATGTGTACAAGAAAGTTTTGCCATCGATGGGTAGGTCTTCGACGCCTATTTTTCCTGCATAAACTCACTGTTCAAGATGGTTATATAAACGAGAACGGGGTTATCAATACCAAGCGGCTGCAGGTCGTCCTGGACGAAATGACCATATGGGAGCGAGAAATATTCGAGAAAGAATATGGAGACGCGAATTGGTTTAAGGGAAAACGGGGCAAACACGTCCAAGAAATGGAACATGCGCGCAAGCGTGCTAAGCTTGGTACATTTCTCTATATCTTCCTTCGGCAATTAATGCTTAATCCCTATTAGTTCTGACGCGCCCTCAACGAGATATTTTTGACCAAGTGCGGCAATTTGTCTTGCAAAGTCGCGGGAAACCATCACAGCACCGAACTGCGGCCCTCACAATGCCCAACACATTCCCCGCCCGGGAACGAAAGTTCATCAGCACCCTGGCGGAGGAGTTGCATCTGTCTGTCACTTGGGATGAGTTCGATAAAGAGGACCAGAATCTTGTCACATGGCGACTCCCCGGGGCTTTGGACGAACCCTTGCCAGAATCTGATGCTGAGCCAGTTAATGGACACGGAAATTCCGAAGGCGAATGGGAAGATGTGGACGAGGAAGATGAAGAAGGCAGGGTTGCAGTCGATCGAGTGTTGAAGAAATTTGACAAGGCGCCCGTGGCGGATGACGATGACGGAGGAGGTTTCGACGCTCGACATGAACAATCCGTCAATGACAAAATGGCGGAATGGAAACGAGAATATTACAAGGTAAGTCCTCACCTCGCATACTGTTTATCAGACTGACTGTTTGTATGTCAGGGAAAACTTGGGATCTCCTACGATGCCCCCGAAGAGATGCACCAGTTAATTTACCGCTATACAGAGGGCCTACAATGGGTTATGCACTACTATTATAGTGGCATTGCCTCCTGGGGCTGGTTTTACGACTACCATTACGCGCCACGGATATCGGGTACCTTTTGCACTCCTTGTCTTCGGTGCGTTACACTCACCTCTTTTAAGATTTACGCGGCCTTGGTGACATGTCGTTCACATTCGAGCTGGGCAAACCTTTCCATCCTTTTGAACAATTGATGGGCGTCCTCCCATCCGCAAGTATGGATCATATTCCGCAAGCCTACCAAGTAGGTTCAGTGGCTTGTTGTCATACATCGCAATGCTAATCACCTGCAGGACCTGATGTATGATCCAAATTCACCGATATTGGACTTCTACCCCCCCGAATTCGAGCTAGACCTCAATGGGAAGAAGCAAGAATGGGAAGCGATCGTTAAGATTCCCTTCATTGATGAGCAACGGCTGTTGCGAGCAATGAAATGTGAGTACCGAGTTCCACTTTTTGGCCTTCGTTCATTGTTTCACGCGTGCAGCACGAGAACAGAGGTTGACTCCAGAAGAGCGCCGCCGCAATGGCTTCGGGACCAGTACCAAATTTTCCTTCGATCCTGGAGAGACTACGGTCTATCCTTCATCATTGCCAGACTTCTTCCCTCCCATATATCGTTGCACATGCAAGATGGAATCCTTCGACCTACCGACTCTTGATGGCCTTCATCTTGTGCCTGGACTATGTGAAGGTGTATGCCTCGGTGCCTCAGCTCTTGCTGGATTCCCGTCCCTCGATACCTTACCCCACACAGCACAACTAGGTTTCCACGGTGTCAATGTACACGGCTCCGAAAGCCGGAACAAGTCCATGGTGGTTCACATCCAAAATCCTCACGAAAACCGCAAGACAGAAGATATCGCCGAGGAAATGGTCGGCAAACGCACTTTCATCGGATGGCCTTTCTTACAAGAGGGGCTCGTCGTCGCGGTGTCTGATTCGTTGTTCAAATACGAGAAGTTCAAAGTCATACCCAGTGCACCTCCAAAGGTCGTTTCCAATCCACATTTCCAGCAGGGCTTGGGTCATTGGAAGAGTAAAGCTGAACGGATCGAGTCGGTATATTCGAAGAAATGTGGAGTTATTACTAGTGACGTCGATGTCCTTGTGCACGTCCGTCCGCTGAAAGGCGAGTGCTAGTGCTTTATGGGCGTTCCTTCTTACACATTCGTGCAGGTTTGAAACGCTTGGAATCAGGAGCATTAGTTAAGGACTACGAGGGACCTGATAAAGAGCTCGAACAAGCTGTCCAGATGGTCATCTCAGAAGTTGCGTCTGAAGATCCCAGGTTTCTCGAGAAGGATGCTCCACCTCTGTCAGAAGAATTCCCTGATGGAACGAACATTTTTTTCCTGGGCGAACATGCATATGGTGTGGCTGCCCAGGTGTCTTCAACTACCGACAGCGCTCTGTCTGTTGTCTTGGCAGTATGTCTCAATGCCCCACTACGATATATTTTTCTAAATGACCTCTTAGTTCTTCCCTTTAGACAAAGCGGAAAACGAGAAGTTCCAGACTATTGTTGAGAGTCGTGTTTCCCAGCACTACTTGCCATCATTCAAAGCAGCCTCCTCACTAAGGATGTCACCCAGAGCGCTCTCCAAGATCACATCTAGCTTCATGGTCCTCACGTCTGATCATCAAAAGAACAATCTCGGACTAAGTATCAAGTTTGAGGCCAAGGCCTTGAAGGTCATCGACTACTCAACGAAGTCTGGTCGCTATTGGGAGTTTAGCGAGAAGGCAGTTGACCTCATCCGTGAATATAAGGTTAGTTCTGTTCGAATTGCCTCTGAATTGCAACTCAGCGTTTGTCAGGATAAATTCCCGGAAGTATTTGGGATTCTGGACCAAGGGGGCGACGGTAAGCTGCTGAACTCGCCAGCAATTCCTTGGTCTAATTCCTAGAATGTTAGATATGGCCCGGGCTACGGACATCTTTGACTCCCATGCTGATGCTAAGGTCAAGGAAGTGAAGTCTTGGCTCAAATCCAAGGGCGTCCGAGATTTAGAGCCAGTCTCGCTCTTTTCGGACAACCTAGCGAAGGTATATCAGGGTCACCATTTATCCCAAGAGTCATCTCAAAGTTGCCTCTAGAGTACCGTCAAAGAAATTGAAGAGCTCGCCGACGAAATCAATAAAAACAGATCAAAAACGGCAATCAAGAAAGTCATCGTGAAGAACATCCCTCGTCACGCAGTTCTCAAACCATCGCATGCTATCTATCGACTCCAGAACCAGCACTTTGCTTTGGGAGATAGGGTCACTATGGTTCCAAGATTCAGGTGGAGTTCCGTTGTCTGTGAAGGGCGTTGTCATCGGGTTAAACTCGAAGTCGATGGATGTCGTGTGGGATGTCGCATTTATGTCTGGTACGACGCTTGGGGACAGGTAAGTGGAACACTTCTTTTGGCCTGAGACACTTAATATTGGGATTTAGATGTTCTCAGTATCGGGGCTCAACCGTGGAGTTTAACTCCTGTCTGAACCTTAGCAATCCCCAATTCATTGCCTCTACCTCCACTCGCCCAAACGTCCCTTTCAAACCTCGATCCGGCCCGTATCCGGCCATTCAGCCTGCTCCTGGGCATCAAGCTGTTGCTGGATTCCGTCCTGCTGAACGGAGGTGAGGTTCTTGTGCTCACGCGTTACATGCGGTGCTGACTTCAGCCTAGTCAACCTGTAGCAATTATGTCCAATCCAAACCGAGGCCGTGGAGGGCATGTCACTCGTGCAGCTCGTGGAGGCCCTCCTTTCATTGGCCGCGGAGGACCACCAGTCAATGGACGAGGTGGACCTTCCATCAACGGTCGTCCAGCGCCGACAGCAGAAGGCACCTCACGAGGCGAAGCTTCCGGATCGACATCACAACTTGTCGTGAACGCTGACAATCAACCTCCCTCTCATGACAATGGTGCACCCAGCAGAGGCGGTGCGGTTCATCACCCGTATCCTCATCAACATCCCAGAGGTGGTTTCCGAGGACGAGGGTTCGCGCCGCATTTTGATCGCGGGAGAGGAAGGGGTTTCCGAGGAAGGGGACGTGGAGCTTTCATTCATCCTATCGAGTCTTCATGAGCTTTGTGTATTTTTACCTTCTTATCTGTAGCCTTGCTGTAGCCTTCGTGTAGTTTGGATTCGCTTGTTGTCCGTTCAATGTCATTTTTCGCAGTCAACGTCCAGCAGTGCCGCTCAAAACAAGCTCGAAGGTTATAGTGATAAAATAAGGCTTATAATCACGGGTTATAATTTCTAAGCACCCAGCAAATTTTTGCCTGCTTGCCAAACGGCGAAACTGATGGCAGTCATGGGTATGATCTTCAAGTAACCTATTCCTAATCCAACGTAGAAACCTCTCCACCCTCCACTTGCGTACACAGCACACACAGTCTCCCCCCACCGTAGCCACCTATCTGGTCTAGTCAAACCTCCGACTTGCATACGCCGACGAACGACCTCAAAGGGGTATGATGCAGTCTGCGAAATTGCACCGGAAACGGCACCAATGGCAAGATTTGCCACGGGGTGAGGTCGCTTGGAATGGTCATCAATCGCTGGGTAGAAGTGCGCGCGCAAGAAATCCCAAGTGAGGAATGCGGTACCAGCATAAGGAACCATGCCGACCATGGTCACGGTGAAGCCACGGTAAAACTTGAGAATGGGGAAGCGCTCAAAGATTTGAGCCGTTGTGGACCGCGTTGCAGAGGAAGGCGTAGAGCCCTCGTTGTATATAACGCGCATAGCTCGGAGGAATGAGGGCCGCATTTGGCCGGTAGACTGGCTGGACAAACGACTATGGAACGCCATGCGTACGCGGACCAACTCGAGCGGATAGGTAAAAGTCACGGAGGTTATGCCTGCAGCGAATACGTTTGAATGAGGAGATATGAGTGAGAAATCAGCTTACCTGCAAGGGCGCCAGCAGCAAACTGTCGGGAATTCGTTTCTAGTTCCCTCGTCGGTATCAAAAGCTGCATGGTATAGTAAGAAAGTGTGCGCACAAGTGTAATGGTGGGGGCGTACCGCTCTCCATTGGTCATAGGCCATAAACTTTATGGCTGCGTACGGAAATATGCGGAGAAGAGTTGCAGAGTGACCTTGAAGCAATCCTCTGGCGCCTCCATCTCTGTATATCGCGAGTCCAGCTCGATATGCTCCACTCCAAGTTCCTTTGGGGGTATGAAGTCACTCCGGGGGTAGATGCGGAGATACGCCAATACATATACATACCGGCATACTTCTGAAAATCAGGGTTTGAGGCTTGGAAGAGGATCTTGACTCTATCAAGGGGGGCGACTGCTGTCTTTGCCTGTGGATGCGGGGGGTCAATTAATCGCAGAGAACACGATAAAAGCAAGTCGTACAATACATCCTGCCAATCCGCCAGCAATTCCAGATCGAATAGCATAGTCGAGTGAACGTTTGTCTCGCTGGTGTGAGACAGTAGAACTCATGAATACCCAGCTGTAGCTATGTACTGGACACACTCATGTGCAGAAAGCGGGGGACGGGGTAGGTGCCGGAGCTAACTCCCGAAAATCACAGACTTTTAGTCATGTCCACGTGACTCCGAAATTGCGTCCTTATCACGCGTTCATCATCGACATCGCTTTCTAACACTGACCATAATGACAAGCAAAGCCAAAAGCTCAGATGTCAAGGTACTCAAAGGCCAAGAAGGTGGGGCCTACTTTCGATTCGCTGGCTCTGTCTTTCTCATGTCACATTAGCCGAAGATACAATATTGCAATATCTGAAAAGAGTGACCCAGAAAAAGGCGCATATATGCGCTATACTGACATGCCATACAACAGATGAACCGTCCTTTTGGTGCTGTAGATGTTTCTGCCAACCTGAAAGGTGCAGTTCCGAAGGCTGCAACGCAGAAGATCCTCGTCGCTCTGGCAGAAAAGGGCGAGATCGTGCAGAAGACATATGGTGTGTACAGATTTGTAAAGAAGAGCTTCTTGCGTTTACAACCTATCGAGGGAAAACGAGTTTCTTCGTCGTTAATCAGGCCAGCATCGATGCGGTTCCTGCCGACAAGCTAGCAGAACTTGAAGTAGAATGCAAGACGATCGAGGAAGGTAACAACGTGCTTGCGGCGGAAGTCAAGGTTCTAACAACAGGTAACGTGGCGAAACAAAGACAGAAGCTACCCTCGTATTAACCATCAATTGCGAAAGAACTGTCTAAACTCAAGAACTGTCCAACGGACGAGGAACTCGACGCACAAATTGCGAGCATGAAAGAGGGAGTAAGTACAGGACTCTCACCTGCTTTTGAGTGAACCAATGTGTCCCAAAGATAGCACAACTCACTGAAAGACTCGTCCCGCTTCGCTCCGGTGCACCACTCATATCTGCTGAAGAACTTGCCAAGGTCGATGTTGACTGGGCGAAATGGCGTGCGGAATGGGCTCGCCGACGAAAAATCTTCATGACGTCAGTTCCTTGCCCACCCACTAACCATTCAAGACCACCGACACAGTAAAACCATCCATTCATGTTACTGATTGCCTAGATAGTTTTTGGCAGCTTGCAACAGATTCCCTGCCACCCCAAGACGCTGAGACGCTTGCCGAGGATCTAGCGATCGAGTTCGACACTACAGAGCACAGGGCACTCGAGAAGGGACCATTGTGCGCTATACAAGGTACAAACGCTCGCAGCAACCTGAAGAGGAAGCGAGAGTAGTTGGTTGTCACAGCATCTTGTTCACATGTCCGTTTATTCATGTGCTTGCTACATCGTTATGAAGACAGAAGTGTAGACAAAGTAGACCGGAGGACGGTAAAATATGCGAGTGATCAGTGGATGATATTGAATGCTGGACTCTGCCATCCTCTTCGCTTCTCCTCATCCCTCTTCTTGTGCTCAACGCTTTGCTTGAAACTCTGCACCTGCTTTAGACCTTTCTTCCCGGCCTGCTCCACTCGTTCAGCGACAGTCTTCCCAACTTCCATGGCACCTCCGACGTCCATCCCAGGGATCCTTTCTGCAAGCGGCTCCGCATGTATTCCAAGAGGACCTCTCTTCTCCCCGGAAAGAATCTGTGGTTCCGCGCCCATTGCAATCTTCGCGCTGCCGCCCAGATCATCCTTTACAATACCCGTTCCAGTGGCTCTCCAACCGGACAGAAGGCCACCCTCCATACGACGTAACCTCCCTATCTCGCTCCAAACCGCAGCAGCAACAGACGCCGCAGTCCCAAGTCCAGCATCCTGGAACACCTCTGAGCGCCGCTCGATATCAAACGCCACAGCATCAGCAGCATCGAACAGACCCCGTATCTGCTCCTCCAGCGTGCGTGAAATGGCCTCACGGAAGCGAAGCACAATGATAGGCCTGAAGACGGATGCGAGGATTGGGTGATTGGATTGTTTAACTTGCATATCGATATCCTCCGCCACATTCACCTCGACACGCTCGATCGTGAAGAACCGTCCAAGACGCTCGCGCTCCTTCAGGCCTTGGAGCGTGTTTGGAATCAAGCGGAACTTCAGATCGATGTCGATGCCCTTTGGAGGGAGACTAAACTCCATGAGACCACTGAAATCCTTGGGCCCGACGGTAGCAACTTTATCCTTGTAAAAGAATGATACCTCCTTGAGCGAAAGCTGGACTGCTTGCATCCGAATATGCGTAAGGGTGCCTATGGCAGTGGTTGTTGACTGCGACCCGGCGGGTGCGGTAATGTCAACGTCAGTGATATTGCGGATGTAGACGTGCCCAGGAAGCAAGCTCAACGAGGAGACGTCGAGGTTCTCAAGTACAAACTCGATCTCGTTATCAACGTACTCGGTTCTATGAGACTAGTCAGCGGATCCCGCAACCCATCATTGGTTGGAGAAACGTACCTTGGAATTGGAATGTCCTGAATGACCCTCAAGATGCGTGGCGCATAAACGTTGAACATGTCCTGCCAGAACCAGGAAGCCTGATCGAGCGCAAATTGCATACCCATCTGTCCGCCCGTGCTTACGCTCTGCGCCACATCCCTAGCAAACGTGGCATGTGCCTTCCGCGCGCGCTGCGAGTCTGCATCCTTTGTGATCGCCTGCTGGAACTCATGAATCTCATGCCTGAAGGCCCGTACATCCTCTTTCCACTTCCGTCCCGCATCTGAATCTTGATTAACAAGCTGCTTCCAGCGCTCACCGAGTCGTTGGTGCTTCTGGCGTGCTTCTTCTGAGCGTGCATACCCAGGCTCGTCGAGGCTCTTGCGAACGTGCGCGAAGAAATCGTTGAACCAGCTCTTTAAGTCTTCGTCATTCCTGATATCTACAGCGCACAGGCGGAGCTGGGCGAAGACATCATCCAGGGACTTGCCACCAGCGGCGCGCTCGACGAGAGTGCGGATGCCACGAAGTGCTTTGAGGATATGCTTCTCTGGGGAAGGATCGTCAATGAAGGATTCGAGGGTTGTGGACTGATTGACGTCGGCAGCGGTGTCAAGAGACCTGTTGAGCCACTTCGACGCGGTGTCAAAAAGCGTAGAGAGAGCACGGTGGTAGTCCTCGTCCTTTGCCGCACGTTCACAGATCTGCGCAAAACATTATCAGCACCGTAAGGTTTGACGATAAGAACAGCAAACATTGTGATAGGTCTCTTGCAGACGGGTACGAGTGCGCTCAGCAATGTCTTCAGCAGATGCCTTTACCTCCTGCCCGACGCCTATAACCTTGGATCCGGTGTCTTTCGCCGTATCCATCGCCTTCTCAAATTTCGTCTTCGCATCTTCCTCCTGCTCCCGTTGCAATTCTTCCGGGCTCTTCTGCTTCCGCCCAAGATTGTCCCGGTCGCCCTGTTGCACCTCCGTGTCGAACTCGCGAAGACCTTCCTTGGCGTAAGCGGCTCCGGATTCGATAGCCTCTGCGAGATCGGCCATGGCGAGACGCGCAAAGGACGCAAAGTCGTTGAGGAGGACGCTTCCTTCCCCACTGACGTTTGTCCAAATTATACGCAGAAGAGTGCGGATGGCAGAGCGGAGAGCTTGGAGATCGGCGGAAGCCTCGTCAGTATCCATTGCTTCTACATGCGTCTCTGCATAATCGCCCTCGGAGAGATGCCAGAGGACTTCCTGCACGAGATCGTCATCTGTATCGAAAGAAGTTCGATGAGTTCAAATTAAGACTGAGTGACGTTGAGACGATTACAGTTTTTATTATCCCCAAGCTTCTTGTACGCTAGGAGGAGGTCTTGAACCCCGCGTGCGAGAACTTTACCTGACTCGCTGAGCTTTCCTGAGTCAGGGGATTCGAAGCTCGCGACGATATGCTCGAGTGTCCACTCAATTGCAGCATCGACCTGCTTCTGGGTGGGGAGCTTGCCAGCGTCAAGAGCAGCAATAAAAGAAGATAATTTGTCCATGGTGTGTTGTTGTGAAGTTAACATGGTGGCGAGGGGGAGCTGGGGCATTATAAAGTCCTAGTATAGGGGCTCGTGGAGTACATAAGAATGACGCATGTCGGAGCAAGGATATGATGACGATATGATGCAACCCGGCTTGTAGCCTCTGGAATTTGAAAGAATATCCAAGATCCAGATAGACTGTAATCGTTTGCTTCCTTGAAATCTCCGACAATGACCCTCCAGACATTCAAGCCTTTGTGCATGTACTGGTGCAACTTCACACATATGCATCACGGCTTAGTGAAATGAAGAGTTCGAAAAGATCGAAGCGAGTACACTTTGGCGAATGTGTCGAGCACTATTAACGGCATACCAACACGATGGGAACACTTAGCCGCAGTGTTCAACATATGATCCCGATAGCGGCTTATTCTTTGCAGTCAGTACCACCCTACGCCCCGAGACTGGCACCAGGCTGGCATGTAGGAGTGGATCGTCGCCAGGATTTCTCGTTCCGCGATTCGTCTCACTTGGCCGCATCAGTATGTAAGAATTAATGGTCCCTGGAGGTTTCCGAAAAGCAGACGACGAGGGCAAGTCATGGGTTCGATCTATGTAATATGATGACCAAGGTGAACACGTTATGTACTTTTCTTTCGGGTACTCACTGTCTCAAGCTGGATCCGATGTTCCTGTGGTGTCAAGAGACATGCGGCATGGTGATGATGGACTACTAAATGGACTAAATATAGACCTTTAATGTTCTATTTCGGGTGTGTGAACTATTTTTTGCTAAAGTATTTGAAGTTGCTTTTGTCTGCTGCGGTTCTCCCACTTTTTTTTTCTGCTCGCTTTAGACTCCCACTCCCGACAATAACAGCCTTCGTCGTCTTCTCACCACCAATCTTTGAGACATGTCTCGTTCCACTCTTTCTGTACTTTTGGCTTTCGCCGCCGCTTCAAAATTTGCCCTTGCTCAACCTGATCCAGCTGACCCAACCCCACTTGTCGACAAGACTTATGCTTACCCATCAGGAATAGTAAGCTATTTTGTCTATTCATTTTTTTTTATTCCTATGTTCACACCGGATTCAAGCCCTACCAAGTTGACTACAACACCGCCGCTATCCGTGGCCCTCAGACCGGCTACAACATCTGTAACTCTACCACCGAGAACCAGAACTCCTTGTGCCAAACCTCGATGGTGAACCACATTGACGGTGAGTGTCCTGTTAAAAACAGCACCTGCACCCGTGTTTAATGACAACTTCAGACTTCTGCTTGTGGGCACCTGCCACACCCAACTCCACTATCGGCGATACTGAGCAGTCCGAGGTTGCGTGGTGCACCAAACCCGGCCACGGCACTCGCCTCATTCCCAATGGTGCCCTTCAGGGTGTTCAGTTGCTCCGCACATCAGAGTACATCCAGATCGCCGGTTTCATCGACCAGACCCAGATTGACATGAACGGTCAAGACTACGGAGGAGAACTCGACCCGCACGGTGCTGATCTCGTCAGTCCTTCCTGCGCCACCTTATTCGATCAGAACTGACCTCCATTCCAGCGTGGGAACCCTCTTGGAGGCTTGATGTACTCTAACGCGTTCCCAAGCAACAATGGTAACAACAACACTTACCAGCAAGTCATTGACTGGACCAAGTATGTCCCTCATGTAAATTCTCACTCTCATTCTAACGCGTCACAGCTTCATGGGTGGCAACGCCTTCTGCATCACCATCTGTGATCCCGCTTCCAGCAGCGCCAACCAGTCCGCTTACTGCCAGAACATCTACGACCGCATGGGTTGCAGCTACAACATGCCAAACAACGCCCAGAATGGCACCTTCGAAGCTTGTGACGCTGACCTCAAGACCCCCGTTGGCCTCTACGTCACCGGCGGCGTCACCATGACCTACTCTCAGCCAGCTACCGCTGCAGTCGACCCCCCCTACACAGCTGTCGTTCCCGCCTCCTCCAACTGTGTCACTTACGCCAGTGCTGCCCTCTACACCGGCCTTGCCACTGTCACCCCTACTGGCGTGACCGCTTCGGCAACTGGTACAGGCACCGCCAAGTCTGGCTCGACGGGCTCAAGCACAGCTACTGGTGCCGCCGCAACCAACACCGGCGCTGCTGTCGCTCTTGGCGTTTCAACCTTCGCTGGTCTCACCGGTACCCTCTTCGCCATCCTCTTCCTATCATGAACTCAGTGTGCCATGTCATTGACTATATTGTTTAGCCTTGCATATACTAATGTACCTGCACCTGTACACTGATTTTTTTCACGATAGTGTTGGGTTATTTGTCTTTGCTTTTATTGAGACGATGTTGTTATTCGTGCAACGATGGACTTGTTTTTACTGATTTGATTTGGTTTTATGTGGATGGGCCTTGAGTCGCTGATGTTGTTTGGACCATGGCCACGAACTGCAATACAGCAACTTGATGATCCTGATTACAATTAGGTCGTGTCCACTGCATTTTCTGTCTGCGGTGCGGTAATTTAAGGCGAGATGAACACAACGTCTCGCTGTCACCGTGACATTGCTAACCATACACCGAAATGCAAGTGCCATAACTGTGTCCGCTTTCCTGGCCTGCAACAACCTTTTATCTCGCTAACGTTAAACGCATTTCTCCTGCTGTCAGGAACAGGCTCCTCCACAGGCACAGTGGTTCATTCACAAAAATAGACACGCATCGTTACTGCACTCACGGTCGAGTAAGATCTCCGTGCGGCGTGCGTCCTCGTGAGTCTGAGATTGCTCCCTCGTAGGCTTCTCGACCTTTGAAAGGCTAAAGTTGTGCCAATTAGATGCGCGTTGATCACCAGGCATCGGTATACTTTATTGTTCAAGATCAGACACCCTACCGGCTGCAGTTCAAAGGATCATGTCAGTGAGCGGCTCATACATTCGACCCGAGATTTGGACACCCCCGTGGTTGGGCCACTTTCCTTCTGACTGTCGCCTGCGACCGTACGTGTTTGAGTTAGCTCTAACCTAGTCTTTCAGATTCCGACGCACAAGTTTAGACGCATGACATTGCACATGCTCACCAAAAGAGCATTTTATCAACCAATCCTCCTACGAACAATGTCGAAAGGATATATCGTGCCCGTCGATATCCTACAGGAAACGCCGCTCCAGGTGTCAACCCAGTAACCTTGTGGTATTCAATTCCCCGGCGCATAACCTTGTAAAGATCGGCACGTCCCATCTCTTTCATGGGACATCTGTGCTGGATGTAACCGCACTCGTATCTCTCGGCGAGGGGCCCAACTCCAAAACCGGCGATGCGAGGCGAAAAATCGTTCGGAAAGCTGTTGGGGGTGGTATTTCTGAGGCTGTTATCGATGCATCGATAAATCCTCATGCCGCTGGTGAGATATAGGTTGCTTTACACCTTGCGTTAAGTAGTGCCCCACTTGAAGCCGTCCCTGTTCACTTGGCGCTATACGACTTCACACTCAAAACATCACCTCCATCGGCGTTCGACCCACGGAGCACGGCAGGTGTGCAGAAAAGCTAATATATCTACGAGTGCCGGTTCTACTGACTGGTATTGTGGTGTGATCTATGGGAATGCGCAAGATTTTACAAGAACGTTGAGTTCATCGAACGGGATGACTTTCTCATGACAATTGAACCAGTCTGCATAGCTAATGGAACTGGGCGAGGATAAAAGCGAGACGAATGAGATCGGAGGCATGGAGTGCCGACAACAATGACGCGCCTACTTGATGAGAGGATCGATGGTCTCCGCGGGAGTAAGCACATCTCGAGCTTCTGCACGCATTATATTGGTGGAGCGCTGGGCTGGTGGGTTGAATGTAGACTCAGATCTGAGATATAAAAGACAGGGAAACTCATGATTGTTAGGAACTTGAGTGAGAGGAGGTAGACTGTTGTTTCAACTGTGAGCCTGAATGCAAACTTGATGAAGATGCAAAGATACAACCCAAGTACTGTGCTCGGCAAACACCGGACGGTGTCTATCCGATGTCCATCTAATGGACATCCCACCGTACTATGCAGCTCTAGGCATATATACGTAGTAGGTGCTCTCGTATCTCAGGCCTCAGGGACAGATGTTGGCTAGTTGCAACAAACAGACTGAGGCCCGGGTATGTATGTTCAAAGTCTTGTCCTCCTGCCCCTTCTAACCCTTGCTCCAAGTCAGTGCTGCACGCATTTTCTTCGTCACTTGTTGTACTGACCCGCTCTACTAGATTTGTAATACTCTCGCGAATCATCGCCTTTCTTTCCATGACGCTCTCGGTCATCTTCCCCCATCGCATCAGCTCAATCGGACTCGTGGAGAATGAATCTTTTTTGTGCACTGGGTGTCGTTCTCAGTGGTTTGTATTGTTTACACTATGAAATATATATGCTGCTTTCTACGTTTTGCTTTATAGTGTGCTCAATGAGTCGGATGACTACTATGAGTGATAAAAGCCTCGCCAAGAGTGGCAAGACTACTATAGGTCAACATATTGCAGGGCGCTTTCAGATTCTCATGACCGCTCCAATCGACTGCATACCAACAGCCTAGCCCATCGTAGGCCGCTTTTCCTGACGATTGACCATATCATTGCAAGCACTTCAATACTCTCCCGGGCCCGAGACTGCCGGGTGTGTCCTAATTTTGGTCCAGCGTCTATCGTGCCGGCCAGCCATCAATCACATAACTACACGCACGGCATGTCCTCAGGCCTCAACGTCCAACGTCAACCTTCACCCATTTCTTCTCACCCTCTCGCTTGAACCCTCTTTGGCCCACCACTCAGCCCATCCAAGATGCGTCGTGTCGTTCGTCGTTTGCGTGGTCGCGCCGAATTCATCAGACTTGAAGGTGGGTCACTCCATACGACTCTGGCATTTGTTTCGTCATCATAACCCTCTATCTCTAGTCATTAGCGGAAGAAATATCAGCGTACCCTCGCGGCGCATACCCGCAGGCATTTTCATTTCCATCAAAGTCGACTCGAGGAAGCGGTGGAGGTCAGCTCTCCGAGTCCTATCATCCAAAAGCTCTGTAGCTTGGGGGGAGACTGTGACCTTGTAAAAGCCTTCCACGAGACTCGATGCCAGTACTCATTACCGACTTGCAGATCAACAGATGCCTCACCTAGGTTATCAATGGAGATCCGGGCATCCTTTGAACTCGGTCAAATGCTTGGTCATGGAGAAGTGATCAGCGAACTTGAAATTACGTGGAATGAGCTGCTCGATCATGGAGACGAACCTTTCGGTGAGTTATCTGCTTCTCATTCAGGCATTTCTATCAACTGGTCGTAGATCTGTCCTTTCCACCCATTGGTGGTGCCCACCCTTCTCTCACACTGAAGGCCACTTCTGTGCACGCTCGCGGACACGAGGATACCGGACTATTTGATGTAAGTGACACTAGCCCTCGTGATTGCAACGTCCACTGACAGAACACAAACTGCAGTCCATAGTTGACTCCGAGATCACGTGGCATACAGATGCAGGCCATGCGCGTTTTCAAAAACATATGAGAAGCCAGAATATCTCTCTCCTGAGGGGTTCTGTAAGGAATTTCCAATGGGTTTTGGATGAGTGTCCAGTCGGCCATCCCGACCGCGCCGCCGCTCTTACCAACCTCGCTTGGGCGCGCCTTGAACGCTGTATCCGAAAAGATCTTCGAGATATCGACTCTACTACCACTCTATTCCGCGACGCCCTTGCATTGCGTCCGCAAGGCCACCCAGACCGTCCCTTGTCTCTTTATCATCTCACTGAAGCGCTGAACTGGCGCTACAACAATCAACACACCACCGCTGACATCGGAGAATCTGCCCGACTCTACAATGAGCTCCTACCTCTCTGCCCCGAGGGCTCCTATCTTCGTAGCATCGCAACTGAGGGAAATGGTGTTGATAATGTAATCCGGGCATGCAATGATCTTCCAAGGGTTGGATCTGATGAAGGCATTGAACTTCGACGAGCCGTCCTCGAGCTCTGTCCTCTGGATCATCAACACCGTCCAAGAGCCCTTGAAGAGCTCTCAGAAGCCCTCAGCACACGCTTTGTACAACACGGCAGCATCGACGATCTAGAAGAGGGTATACAACTTTATCGTGAAGTTATTTCTCTCCCTGGAATTCCTCATCATGCAACCTACTTGAGTAACTTGGCGTCCGCACTCAGAGACCGCTTCCATCACCAAGGGACATCTCACGACCTCGACGAAGCCATCTGTCTACACAAAGAAGCGCTGTGCCTGCACCCTGTTGGGGATGTATTTCGTGATAGATCATTGGATAATCTAGGGGCAGCCCTCTGGATCCGTTTCACGCAACGTGGTAACATTAGGGACATCGACGAAGCTATCAAACTCTATCGTGAGGCCCTGACATTGTCCCAACCTCTGCATGCAATTCGTGACATCACGCTTAATAACCTTGCCGTCGCGCTCAAAACCAGATATGACAAATTGGATGCCAGGGAGGATCTTAACGAGGCCATCAATTTGCACCGCGAATCACTTCGGTTCAAGCAGCTTGACGATCCAGGGCGCCACAAAACACTTTGCAATTTGAGCGCGGCACTTTACTCTCGTTTCATGGACACTCGGGAGAATGAAGATATCGAGGAGGCCATCGATCTCTGCCAACAATCATTGACGGCTTTGCCCTCACTGCACCCAGGCAGATGGTTCTGCTACAAATGGCTGATGATGGCCTATCTGGCTCGTTACCGGGTACAAGACTTGGACAACCCTGCCGATTTGTTACTCGCAGTGGAGAACTTCAGACAGGCATCAAGACACCCCACTCAAGGCTTTCCACGTCGTATTGAAGTAGCCTTGTGGTGGGTTGATGCTGCTGAGGATGATAAACGTGAATCTGCCCTCGAAGCATACCACACATGCTTCGAGCTTCTCGATAGTCATCTGGTTACACGATCATCGACCACGTCACGGCGTGAAGCTGCGGCTGCCTTCAGTAATGTCAGAACACTCCCTGTAGACGCTACATCATGCGCCTTACGCCATCATAACCTACAAGAGGCCGTTGAACTTGTGGAGAAGGGCCGTGGCCAGCAATGGTCACTGGCCTCTCGCCTGAGGACTCCACTTGAAGACCTCGAGTCCGCAAATCCCAACCTAGCTCACAAGTTTTTGGAGCTCAGCAAGTGTCTGTCCGACGCTCAGGGTTCTGTAGCAAACACAGATAGAGCTGCAGCTGAGCGGGCAGCGACAGAGTATAGGCAACTTATGAAGGAATGGGACGCTGTGGTGGCTGATATTCGTGATCTCAAAGGTTTCTCGCGATTCCTACTCCCACCCTCATACGAAGACTTGCAAGCAGCAGCGAGCCATGGTCCAATCATCATCCTCAATGCCAGCAAGTACTCGTGCGACGCTCTCATTGTTCCTACATCAGGGCAGCCCCACCATGTCCCCTTCCCTTCTCTCTCCGTCGCAGACCTCGAGATGCTGAAGAAGGACTTTGCCAGGGAGATAAAGCATGCAAATCTTATGAGCCCAACAGAGCCGAGGAAGACTTTACGAGCACTCTTGCGGAAAGTATGGGACATGATCATGCTACCCATTGTCAATATCCTTCAGCATGACCTCAAATTGCAGCGCCGGTCTCGAATCTGGCTGTGTCCGACGGCAGCCTTCACGTCTATCCCTCTCCATGCAGCTAACTCCTTCAAGCGAAAGAATCCAGACCGCCCTGGGATGGAACCATGCCTTGAGGATCTCTACATCTGCTCTTACACGCCAACACTGTCGGCATTGATCAGATCTCGACAGACCATGAAGACGCGTTCGGGAACGCCGTCCTTTGTGGCGATCGGGCAGAGTCAACCTGGTGCTGGGCAAGGCACAGTGCTCGCCGATGTCGATAGCGAGCTCGAGCTCGTCCATAAACTCCTCCCCCCCAACGCCGAGTTCACCTATCTTTCTGGCGCCAAAGCTACTCGGGCAGGTGCACTCGAAGCTTTGCAACACAACACCTGGGTGCACCTCGCTTGTCATGGCACGCAGGACCACGAGCAGCCTTATAATTCACGTTTCGCTATGAAAGATCAGCCCCTCACGCTACTTGACATCATGGAGAATAATGCTCCACAAGCTGAATTCGCATTTTTATCGGCATGTCATACTGCCGTTGGTGATGAGAAGACCCCCGACGAAGTTATCCACCTTGCTGCTGGTCTACAATTTTCCGGTTTCAAGAGTGTCATTGGCACACTGTGGGTAGTTGATGATGCTGTTGTAAAACACATTGTTAAAGTGTTCTATGAGAAGATGTTCACAGATTCAAAGGAGGGGGACCATATCATGGACTGTACGAAGGCAGCCTCCGCACTGAACCATGCTACGCACGTCGTGCCAAAGAAGGAGGTGCCGCTCGAGCAGAGGATTGTTTTTATTCATATCGGTGTGTAGTTTCATTGCCTTTCATGTAGTTCATATTTACAAGTCCACCTGTACCTATACTATTGATTTCTCAAGTTCTATAACTTATCCATATACAGACGGGCGAACCAAATTGTAGACTTCATATAACGCAGTACAATACAATCTTTGAACGGACGCCGCTTTATGTATTGAACATCTCTATGAATGAATTGCAATTGAACGGTATTGCGAAGCACTTAGAAAGTATTTAGTTTAGTGCTAGAAACACTGAGGCTATATATAAGTAACTTGGCCAGACCATGCTCAAGTCGACCGTCATCGTTTCCACTTCCTCGCAGCTCACTCGCAATGCCATCCACATTCACCAAGACTTTTGACACCCTTGCATTCAAGGGGACTGTCACGATCTCTCTGGGTCTCTACATAAACGGAGAGTCCGTGGACCCTGTTGAGGGTGGCACAATCGAGTGAGTGCTTTCATCGTACACTTGAACGTTGGTCTCATTCATACACAGTGTTGTCAATCCCGGTACGAATTCTTCGTTCGTAAGTATCTCATAACTATAAGGTATTCTTGCAGCAATGGGTAAAGTAGTTACTTCCATCGCAACCGGGACGAAAGTCGATATAGACATTGCTGCGAAGGCAGCCAAGAAAGCCTACAAGACTTCATGGGGCCTTAAAATTCCTGGAGCTGAGTGTGGATTCGTCTGCCACGCTCACCTTCACCATCTCCTGTACGGAGGTACGTGCACAGCGTATGAGCCAGCGAACTAAGCTGACCCAGTACCAACAGATGATCTCGCGGACGCAACTCTACTTTCGGTCTCCCATCAGATTCTGAAAGCGATTTCGAGGAGCCGCCAACAGATTCAGACTCAGAATTATTATCCCCCAGCTCCCTTTCATCAGACTCGTTCTGCTATGTGTCTGAAAAAGAAGTCCCTCCTCCTCCTCCGTGCGCGTGTTATTATTATCTTTGTGCTCACGCTCGCTCACATTGTTTTTGCAGCCGCCCTAAGCGCGACCCGCACAGTCCAGCTGAACAGCATCATGTAGAGGAAACTGTAGCTGCTATACGTTTACGCACGCGACACCACGATACCTATGAAGAATGGGAGAAACAGACGCGCAAAGATGCATTTGTGCGTGACTATATCTATCTACGCTAGTACCCGGACGTTAATACGCTCGTAAATGGTTGGAAGGAGCAGGATAAGAAGTTCCGTGATAGGATAGAGGGCGTCATACGGGTTGAAGAGGAGTGACTGCGCGCCACACTCGAAGCTGAGCGCAGAGCCCGGTAAGAGGCCGAGAGAAAATGGAAGGAGGAAGAAGAAAGACGAAAAGTAGAGGAAGAGACGAAGCGGCTAGAAGAGGAAAAGGCACAAAGGCAACGAGAGGCAGAAGCGCCTGCGAAACGGCAAGAAGAGGAGAAGGAGCGCTTGCGCAGGGAGAAGCTGGACGCCGAGGAACAGGGCAGGGCACAATTAGGAATGTCCTTGGCCGAAGAGGACCGGGTGTACGCCCGTGAAACTCTCAAGGTACAGCGGCTGCTTCTTACGGCGTACTGCAATACTAATACCTTATTCAGAATTTAAAAGCCAGGGCAATGAAGAGAGTCAAGGAAGACAAGCAACTCAAATCCCAATGGAACGCCATTCACCGACAGATAACACCAAAGATCGGGCAACTTACACATGACATCGACTCCGTCATGCGGATAGTAAGTTCATTTCCGCTATTAATACATCACTTGAAATTAAACTTTACAGACCCAACAAATCAACGATATCGTTCGTCCAAACGACCGACTTCCTATCGACATCTACTTTGCCGCTCTGTCCTCACTAGCAAAAGCCATCCTTCTTCAAGCCGAAACAGAGGTCACCGCCGAAAAGCGGAGCGCTATACCCCTGGCCATGGTTGCCGCGAGACTGCTAGGCACGCTTGAAGGTTTTCCGGACATCTTCGCGAAGCTCGTACAACGGTCCGGTGGGTGGCCTGTGCCATCAGCGATTCCTTCCACGGACTCGGACGGTACTGCGTGGAAAGGCGAGGAGCGCACCAAGGCTATGGGATACCGGACGAATGAAGGCCAGAGGGAGAGCTTATCTGAACACGTTATGCGCGTATCAGGGATGATGCGTGTTTATTTCCTGATTCTGGCTGCGCCTGTACCGCAGCCATTGGAAAAGATGTTCCGGTTACCACGTTTTTTGGCGTATTGATCTCGACCAGATCATCATATCCAATCTTTCTCGTGGTGTCAGTGACGTGCTTTTCCACGGACGCATTGCCCCAGGCTTACACGCGCTACCTAACAGGTGTGCCATGATCTTGTTCTCCTGCTTGTTTTTGTGCGTTGTCTAATGTTCGCGTGATTGTCACGATCATATCTTTCATATGGAACGCACAATACTGATATTTGACGGTAAGTTCCCTGCCACCAGGATTGACTTTGATGGTTCAATAATGATTTTCCCAGTCTCCAGTCCAATCGACTTCAATCGCTTGGAGTCCTGGCGGGTCTTAGCACCAAAGGCACAGCGTGAGCGCTACACCTGGACTCATATCCTGTGGGTGTTGCTAAAGATTTACGTCAAAATGCGCGTGTTTCAAGAACATGGCTGCACGCGGCGAACAATCAGACTCAGCTCTGCAGCCTGGAGTCCGTTCGGGGGCACCGAAGGGTTTTGACAATTGTTTCAGATCAATGAGATGGTTGTATGAATTACCAGGACGTAACAGTGGCGGCGTGGCTCCATAACATAGTTGCTACCTCTGAGTCTGACTTATAGGGTCAAAATAGAAATAGGTTTCAAACTTGTGAAAAAATATCTTTTGGTGGGCTGGTACATATCATAGAGGGTATCGATAGGATGGATATGAGCCAACAATTAAGAAAAACGGCGGTTGGATTGTGGAGATATGTTCAAAATACCGATATTTGAGCCAACCTCCCATATCACAATAATGCTGACCTCTGGAAGGTCTGGGACCATTCCCAATCGATTATATAGGGAAGTTGTAAATAGGTTCGGTTAAATAACTGGTTTTGTTAGGACTTTGGCTTTTAAAAGGAAAAAATTCTATATATATTGGTCATAACTACAAATAATCACAGTATAGCAAGGAGTGAAATAGTTGTAAAACAGAGATAGGCATTCAGAATAGTTAGCACTTGCAACTGTTGCGAGTGCTACAGGATTGCATATGCAGTGTAGTTAGCACTTGCAACAGTTGCAAGTGCTACTGCAGTACAACTGTAGTAGCTATATTGTCGCACTCGCAACTGTTGCAAGTGCTAATGCAGTACGGCTGTAGTAGCTATACTATCACACTCGCAACCGTTTCGAGTGCGATGGTATGTCACGTGATGTTCGCGGACCCTGTAATAGTAAGAACATGAGGCTAAGGGTCGAGGGGATAGGGCAAGAAAACGGGGGCGAAAGAAAATTGCCCTCTTATCGATAACCATCATCACCTCTACCAACGTATAGAATAAACCCAAGGACGTCAGATGCCTCCGAAAGCACCGCGCAAAAGCGGGGGGAAGAAGGCTGGGGGAACAACAGTAGCGGTGAGTGATGAATATAGAACTAACCAGTACTTCCTAATGCAACGCCTATCAGAGTGGAGCAGCATCCAATCTGCACTTGGATGAGAGGCCGATCCGAGCGCAGGATGGCAACAACCTAGCGAAGCAGATGCAGAAACTCGACACACAGGTCGCAAAATGCAAGGCAGGCGTTGCATGGATCGATCTGCTCGCGATCAGTAATCGGCTGAAGCTAGGAGTATACAATGACTGACTAGAAAATGAGGCGGAAACGAACAAGCTAATATCGTCGTTCAGGGGCTCTGGGGTTGTGTCGATGAAGATGAAGGCCGCGATTCCGATCATCATCGACACGAAGCGAATCAAGACTGGACTGGAGCTGGCAGCGAACTTTGATGACCCAGACGACGTACCTCAACTTGAGCTTAAGGACAAGGACGACATCGTTGTAGCGTCTGGACAGCATCGTCTGTCAGCGCTTCGCCGATATGTGCAGCAGCTTGAAGACGAGTATGCATCGCTTGAGAAGAAACGAGGGAAGATATCGACGCTGAAGCATCTCACCGAAGATCACATTTATAGGGTCAAAATAGAAATAGGTTTCAAACTTGTGAAAAAATATCTTTTGGCGGGCTGGTACATATCATAGAGGGTATCGATAGGATGGATATGAGCCAACAATTAAGAAAAACAGCGGTTGGATTGTAGAGATATGTTCAAAATACCGATATTTGAGCCAACCTCCCATATCACAATAATGCTGACCTCCGGAAGGTCTGGGACCATTCCCAATCGATTCACAGGCCTCAAATACCTTAGGATCAATGTTTGCAGTATCGGTATTGAGGTGAAATACCGGGATAGTGACATACATGAGGTCAGGAGGAGGAGGAGGACCTTGTATATCTCAGGAACACGATTTTTCCAGGCAATTCTGGCTTTACCATCGTGTTCAGAGGGCTCAATAGCCCCCAGGAAAAATGCTTTTGAAGGACAGGCTAGTCATATGAAGTCTAGAAAAATCGATCTTTGGGTGGGGCAGCATGACCTGGGTGGACAACTTTGGAACATGATTTTTAGAGCGAAATCCGGCTCGACCAACGTGTTCAGATGGTCAAATAACCTCTAGAACGAGTCCTACATAAAGCCAAGCAAGCCATATGAAGGCTGAAAAAATCGATCTTTGAGTGGGGGGTGGATGACAGGGGCAGCCAACTTTGGAACATGATTTTTAGAGCCGAAATCCGGCTCGACCAACGTGTTCAGATGGTCCAATAACCTCTAGAACGAGTCCTACCTAAAGCCAAGCAAGCCATATGAAAGCTGAAAAAATCGATCTTTGGGTGGGGGAGCATGACCTGGGTGGACAACTTTGGAACATGATTTTTAGAGCCAAATCCGGCTCGACCAACGTCTTTGTATGGTCCAATAACCTCTGGAATGAGTCCTATCTAAAGATAAGCAAGCCATATGAAGGCTGAAAAAATCGATCTTTGGGTGGGGGTGGATGACAGGGGCAGCCAACTTTGGAACATGGTTTTTAGAGCCAAATCCGGCTCGACCAACGTCTTTGTATGGTCCAATAACCTCTAGAATGAGTCCTACATAAAGACAAGCAAGCCATATGAAGGCTGAAAAAATCGATCTTTGGGTGGGGGAGCATGGCATGGGTGGACATCTTTGGAACATGATTTTTAGAGCGAAATACGGCTCGACCAATGTGTTCAGATGGTCCAATAACCTCTATATCTATATGTTGTGACTGTTTACAGGGTGCAAACGTCCCCGTCCACCTTTGCCTTATTTGGACATAATTTACATAAGCGTCCACCCGTCCCCCTGGCTTTTTTTCCCATCAGTGTTTTTTCTGCACTTGGATTTCCTCTTTTGGTTAAAGTCACTTATGCAACTTTCCCACTGTCCACCCGTCCCCTTCCCCTTTTGGCAACATACATTATGCAACCATCCCACCGTCCACCCGTCCCCTTCCCCTTTTGGCAACACACATTATGCAACGGTCCCACCGTCCACCCGTCCCCTTCCCCTTTTGGCAACACACATTATGCAACGGTCCCACCGTCCACCCGTCCCCTTCCCCTTTTGGTCAGACGCATTATGCAACCGTCCACCCATCCCCTTCTTCTTTTGGTCACTGTGCCACATGCCGATCGTACGACCAGACGAGACTGGCTGCTGAGGGCTGCTCTGCTCACTTTAATAAGTGAGGAGCATATATCAAGATCTGTTCTTTCCCCATGATGCTGTATTCTCCTTCGGAAAGACCATCGCGGAAAAAGATAATCCGCATTGGCGCGGCCCTGCTGCATTCAGATCACTCGTCTGTGTTTTGCCAGTAGATATCGTCCCTGAGCGTGATGCTAGCTATACAAATGTGCGACTGGAGGTAAATCGCCCCTAATTGACATTCTCAAACCAAGAAATGGCTGTCGCTGGACTAATTCACCTTCAATGTCCTCAATCTGTTCTTTCCCCATGATGCTGTATTCTCCTTCGGAAAGACCATCGCGGAAAAAGATAATCCGCATTGGCGCGGCCCTGCTACATTCAGATCACTCGACTGTGTTTTGCTGGTAGATGTCGTCCCTGAGCGTGATGTGATGACTCCATCTGCTAGCTATACAGATCGCTCGTCTGTGTTTTGCTAGTAGATGTCGTCCCTGAGCGTGATGCTAGCCATACAAATGTGCGACTGGAGGTAAATCGCCCCTAATTGACATGCTCAAACCAAGAAATGGCTGTCGCTGGACTAATTCGCCTTCAATGTCCTCAATCCGATCTTTCCCCATGATGCTGTATTCTCCTTCGGAAAGACCATCGCGGAAAAAGATAATCCGCATTGGCGCGGCCCTGCTACATTTGCCAAATTCATCAATTGTAGTACCACACCCGACATATGTAGTATGCTCTCCGCCACGTCATGAAAGGCGGTGAGCAGCTTCTTTGATCTTGGGAGGGAGTCAGTTCATTGCTTTGTAGCACCTCTTCACACAGGTAGCAGAATAAATTCATGATATTCAGTAATACAAACAAGTGGAATGATGTAGCACTATTCAGTTAGTTATCTATAGCCCTGTTGAATCTAGTGTTGCGAGGGTCTAGTTCAGAGGGGTCAGTACGTGATGGCCGTCGGTGCTAAGAAACCACCCACCAAGAAAAATTTGATCGCGTGATACGAAGTGCAAGTCCTGCAAGATCGTGTAACATCAAATGATTGAATCCGATGAAAATACTTACAGAGAATGTGGCAAGAGGGTGTCGGAAGGTAATCCATGTCGAATGAGCCATTAGCATGGTGCAAGGAAGTTCATAGTTGTGGCCGATGTCATCGACGTTGATCAAATCGAGCGACCCGCACGCCCACAGGTGAGACTAGGGTTGAGTCCCAGTGAAGAGTCGGACTAGTGATATTCCGGCCTGGCTTCAGACGGCTTGGGCTTGCAAAAAATCCAGGCTGGGCCAAAGCCACCAGCGACGGCTGGCTTTGGCTCGGCTCTGGCCTGAGCCGCGGCCCGAGTACTATAAATGTAAAATTATGAGTATGGGTTAAGATATGAACTTGAAGCACTCGCCTGTGCAGTAGGAGGGAAAGTGTGATAGGCCAGTGGGAACTGGCTAGGTAGAACACGAGGCCGTGCGATGGTCATGACCCCGGGAGTGACTGCAGGACGTTGCAACGATCATTGATGATTTCCTGGGGGTAGAATGAGTCACGTCCATCGTCTGGGATTATCTGCAGAAAACTTACGCTGAATCGAAGTCGCTCGATAAAACTGCATGGAATTTCAGTAGCAGTTCCTGTTAAACATTCAGAATATGGCCTCAGGCCTCAGTCAGCAAGGTTTCAAAGTGACTTACTTACTCTCATCACGCCAAGATTGAAGCGTAAGTGCTCTTGCTTCCTCCGTCCCACCGGTCGCCTCGTTTAATCCACCTAGTAGCGCGGTCCTTGAACTGAAGGAGAGTATGCAGGCAAGATCTTGGCCGATCAGAACATCTGGCGTGCTCGCAGTGTATCCCCGAGCCTGCGGAAAGACATAATAATGTCATCCCATCCGACGAGAACGAAACTAAGAAGGGAATTCAATAATGAAGAGGTTTTAGCAATTTAGAAGGACCTCCAAATCCTTACCCGTACGGGTGAACGCAGATACCTACATCCCTGACGAGTTGGTCCCAGAATTGTTGCCTTAGTCCATGCAACCCGTCTCTGTACCACTGAATCATATCTTTCATCTCGCAATACGTTAGGGCGAGAAACATCTACAAGGATTAAGGCTGAGTAGGATGGCTTAGGGCATGAATAAACGTACTTCAGATGCCCGAGACAATAGCCCCCATGTCGTCATTGCGTATGGATTTATCTGTGGAGCCATAAGTTCGGTTCTGCGTTCGGTTGAGCAGGATCGGCGCATACATTTGCGATGTTCCTGACAATATTGTCGAATATCTTGAGGGGTTGAAGATATGCAGTCTGGATATCGTCACATCCAACGTTGCAGTGCGATTAATTTAATCAGCCCTCATCAAAATTTATCGTTGAGACACGTACCGAGTTTTCACCAGCGATCGCTTGCTTGCATCCGCAGGTATCTGCAGGATCTAGCCTCAAATTCCTCATAAGGTAGGACTTGGATACGCGATTAGAATCGCTCGTCATGAACACTTGAAGGTGCGAACAGGTACGAGTGATGGATACATGATCGTCGCTCACAAGCACTTGAAGAAGTAGACAAGTATGAGCGAATTAAGTTGAGAGGTAATAAGTACTCAGCGGGAGAAGCCAACTATACAGCAATCCCTCAGAGGCGAAACAAGATGCCCGGAGTATTAAGGATCCAACTTGCAAGCGCTTAGCATGCTCTGTCCGAGAAAAGTAAGCTAACACTATGCAGCAGGAACCCACTGTTAGAAGCTAAAAGAAACATGCTCAGCGTTGAGAGACGACGACTAGATAACATTCGTAGTACCTAAAAGAAACACGCTATAAGAGAACACAATGTGAGACAGAGACGGCGAGATAAGATAACGGTTGACATACCTCAGCGTTGAGAGACGATGACTGAGGTATGAACAAACGAGCGACGCGAGATTATAAATTAAGAGTCGCGCGCATAGTAGGAATTGAGATAAGACGAAAAGACAAAGAGAAACGACGAGTCGATAATCCAACACCCACCAGAGGTAGTGAATGCCTGTAAAGGACGTCAAGGGTGTCCTTCACCCCCTGCAGAGGATCGAGACCATTGGATGATGTGTAAGTACTAGTATATAACGTATGTTGCCAGCTATTAATTGCCACTGGCAGCGCTCATAAGTTTGAAATGTTCAAAGTCCAACATTTGCATTTATTTGTTCCTTGTTCCTACGCGTCAAAAATCTTTGATCGCGTCGATCATCAATCAACACATTTCCTTGCTTGCAATCGTGTATTCTCACCATCGTGCTGCATGTCACTCCAAGCAGTCGGGATCGTAAGTTGTTTCGGTCACTAAAATTTCTAGACTATACGGTGTATAACTATGTAAACTCTTCCTCGACTGATCTACACTACACGTCTGTATTAGCCTTCAAACTTCCGCTTGTTGATATGCGCTCAAAACTTGTCCCCACACCTTGTCTCACCTGGCAGATCTGCTGACGACGACCCAGTAGTTTACCTATGGTAGTTTGATATCAACGGACACCCAGTCCACCTTTGCCCTCACAACTTGCCTGAATTTCCTCTAAGTCCCCACCACCCCTTGACCCTGACTACACCTAGTGCCAACTAAATGTCCGGAAAGCTGGGGAAGCAGAAGAGCAAAGTGAGACATTTGTTATTTCACAGCTTCAGTCTACTGATGCGAAGCAAATACACCCAGTACGACATCGAGAAGCGCCCTGTGACTTGCAACTGTACGGAGTGCATTAAGGAATGTCCGAAAGGCAAGAAAATCCCAAAATACGATGAGCGAAGGCACCGCCAGAGGGAGCAAAAGGTAAAAAGATCGAAAGCAACCACGTCATCCACACAGCAACGGACCTTCAAGGTGACCGTGGCGTTGGCAGGTTCTTCTGCTGACTTCGAGATAGAAGCAGGCAGCTCGTCTGATTTTGGTTTGTCTTTGTCTGTCAAACAACTGAGATTTGCTCTGATGTATCTACGCGGCACATGCGCAATCCTCTGACGACGATTTCCAACCTTTCGATGATCTCACCCCCTCATCTCTGACTCTCGCTTCTCAACTCGACGTTCCAGATATCGACTTACTACCCGAAGCCTTTTCTCTCGACACACTTACATCCAGAGCTCCTTCACCGGCAAGTGAAATGGCTATTTCTGTCACAGGCTCTGATTTCAACTCGGAACCAAGATTGACACGTCTGGTGAGTGCCGTTTTGCGTTTGGACTCTTTGCGTTGTTCGTCCCTAATTGAATCTAGCTCCTCCAAGATTTTCGTCACCTGTCATTGATGAAAAATCAGCAGCCTAAGATTATCGGACAGTTTTATACCTCATCTGCTCGCCACGCCGGTCTGATGATTTCCCATACAGGAATACCTGCTTGAACTTCACGCTCGGTTAGTTTGGCCGCTTGGTATAGCACCTTCTGCCTATCTTTCCTCTTTTCCTCGTCATCTGTATCAACCTCTGATGCTTGCTCTGACATATACTCAGGTCGTAGAAGATCCGTGGGGTCTTTTTCATTCCGGGCTTTGTACTCTTCGACTGCCTTTTCTCGATCTTCAGCAAGCTGATTCAATTGGTGCGTCAGCTCATATGATGAATATATGAAATGAGTCTTACATGCTCTTGACGACGAAGACGCTTGTTAGCAGTGTTGAACTGGCGGCGATTTGCTGCTTTCTCTTCATCAGCCTTTTCAATATACTTGCGCTTGTAGGACCTGAACTTGGACTTTGTGAACGCCACAAGATCGCCATGAGTATAGCGCACGTCTTTGTATCGCAGTGCGCAAGTTTCCTTGTCCTTTTAGGTGCATATAAGAGCTCATCTCGTCATGTCAGGCATCAACTTACTTGCTGCTCCTTCCAGACTGTAAGGATTATCAAACGTTTATCGCCGGAACATGCCGATACTCCTCTCACCGCAACCACCACTGTCAACAGCCTGGACCGTTTGTCAAGCACGATACCCGACCCCTTTTATTAGTACCTATCCTTTCAATTCCTATCGCTCGCTAAACCCTTCCTTTCGTTACCGTTCCTCCATTCGTAACACCGCCGTCTTCACCCTGTCGACAACTCTTATATCATTCTCTCGCTACACTATCAAATACAACGCCACTCCCTTCAGCTACCGCTTTCACCGACCGTACACCGAGCCCTTGCCTTTAACTATTCTAGGACGACCCTTCCTCATCCTACAGTATAAGTAGCCCATGTACATTCCTAATAACGAGCAGAATAGAACGGTAGATCTCCCAGAAGAACGCCCCGAAGAACCCGTCTCATTACCTTCTCTTATCATTGCTATAACGCGGTCACTCTCGTTTACCGATTCACGATATCTCTCGCATCCGTCATCCCTCGTTTGAAGCTAACACTAATCATTATCATTCCTTCAGCGGTCTATCTACCCCCTTCGCACTCGCATCGCCTCTAGCTACGCACGTCGTAGCTAACTTACAAGACTATGTTCGCAGCTTGCGTGAAGACAGCTGAGTTGGCTTCACTCGAAACATTACCTTGGAAGTTGAATGTCATCTTTGGAGGTTCGGCTGCACCATCCTCGTCTATCTCTTGATCCTGCTCTTCGCCAATCTCACTAGCGATAAGTCCGGTAAGATTATAAATTGTCTCTTTCAAGCAGCTCTGACGTGTATAGCAGATAAAATTATTTGTGTTCGTCCGTATGTGCTTATCCCTTCACCGATGTCGTTCGTTTGAGCATGTTTACGCATGTCTACAAACATGCATGTTACGTGCTACGCGTCAAAATGCACGTAACGCGCGCCACGCGTCAAAATGCACGTAACACATAGGTAATACTAACGACGCTATTACTTTGACTACTGACCGCACACTGCAGCGTCGCATTTCGGTTCAACGGCGGTTGTCGTTGTTTGGCCAACAATGTGGCGGCCTTGCGGTGATTTGTTTAAATACTCGCAGTTCCTTACTAACGCTTTGATTCAGTTCCTCCCATCAACTACGCCTGATCATGCCCTCGAAGAAGATGACGGCGAAGAAATCCACCGGGGGTTCAGCCCCCCGCGTGGTCATCACGCTTGAGGCTGCAGACGACGTCTCAGACGCATCGCAGAGCGATGAGATGGACGTAGCGTCCGACGGTTCTCACCATAACGACGTACGTATTATTTCGTTTCATTGCTCGCTAACGTACTTACAACAGAGTTAGTTTTGTATCGTTTGTCGCGACGGCGCCGTAGAGCCAAATTCGCTCGTCTGCTGCAGCGAATGTCCGCGTGTCGTCTGCGTCAATTGCATGGACATACCTGCCGCGTTCCAGCACGCCGTCCTGGCCGATGACGTCCTTTTCCAATGTATTTGTTGTTATATATCCCAGCAAGAGAGCAGGCGGCGGCAAGAGAACGGTCCAAGTCGCTTGCCATACTTTGTCCGTCTTTCCGATCGCTTTTATTCACTTGCGATTCACTTATTCGACAGGGTTTCCACTACTCCGACGGACGGCCGGTACTGGACAGGTTCCTGAACATCCGCGCCACCCTGGAGCTGTCCCTCCGCGCCCAAATATCCTCAGCCCCCGTTCTCTTCGTTCACTTGAAGATAGTAGACTACGACGCTACGGGAGGGTCGTTCGATCTCGCGTACGATTTCCTCAAGCCGTACTTCCCGTGCGGCGGGCTCGAGCGTCGCGAGGTGACGTTTGACATCGCCACGACCGCGAAGGCCGCAAACTATCAGCGATCCGTAGATAGCATGGTACGCGCTCTCAAGGAGCAAGGCAAGTGGGACCGCGTGGTGATAGGCATCTCCGACCACACGGACAACGACAACGGCGACCCATTCGCAGGATACGACGGGAAAAAAAGATTCATCGCTGCACGCGTCGATAATGTGAGTTATTTATTTATTCTGACGGTGATTTCAACTACTAATATCTCATAGTTTTTAGATATCATTCTCAAACCGTGGCAGGGCCTCGTCGATCACGCGTCCGAATCATACTTATGGTTCTTTTGCTGCGGTGCCCTAGTCAACAACATCGAGTCGTTCAAAACCTTGCAGACGTCTATTCTTCGGTATGTCCTCTACTTTCGCTTAGCATTTGCGCTTCTAACCGAGTTCTATTCCAGTCACCGTATGAGCGCCGCTGTTGCATTTACCGCGCCTCGCTTCCAGCCTAGTTTTACATCGCATCTCCTTCTTGCGTTCGCTGAGATCGTACTCCTCGAGCGATTCGCGATTCACAACTCTTTTCCGCACATGCTGGGGCAATCGTTCAAGCTCGGACGTCACACGGACATTTTCTTGATGACCCCAGACAAGGACCAACTGACGGTGACCAAATACTGTTGGACCCACATCGACCATCGCCCATGGGGTCATTACCTACCCCTACTCTGTCCTAGCTGTGGTGTAGGGAATGCTTGGCGATCTGCCAGCAAGTCCAGAGTCTACACTTTTGAGTGCACTAATCACCCTTGTCGTACGTCTTACACATTCAAACAGCCAGAGGGTTCTAGGATGCTGCATCCCGGGAAGACGGGCAGCAGTTGCTGGATCTCCATCCCTTGGAAATATTGAGCGTCTGAATAACATACCGTTTTGTAGACTTAGGATAGACGCGTTTTTTGAATCATGAGCGTTTGAACGAGGCAACGATCCGAAAACACGATCTGGGACAATGACGGCGGCAATGATGCAAAACGCGACCGCAGGAAAGTAACACGACTGGCGGCAAAACAGCGCGCATAAAAGGACACAGTATAGGTTCATATGGCCAGCAATAAGGCAGGCAATCGCCCGACAAGAAGGCAGGCGAGGGCAGGTAAGGACTAGGGAACTAGGGAACTGCACGGGTACGGGTATACCCGTGCGGGTGCGGGGTATGGGTACGTGCGGGGTACAGGTACGGCTCTAGTGTTGCAATGCCCGTACCCGTACCCGTACCCTCGTGCCGGGTTAAGGTTAAAACGGTAGGGTAAGTGTGGTACTGGGTTGCAAGGAGGGGAAGATGAAATACGCACTGTGAGAGGAGAACCGCACCGATCGTGTCGAGTAAGGGCTTGAGAGAGCAAGCGCGATGTGCGCGTGGTATTGGAAAGACGAGGCGAATGAGGGCTTTCTAACGTATCCATAATCGAGGGAAACGGCGCAGGTACGGGCGAGATACGAGCTAGATATGACTTTGATGAGGTTGCAAGGAGGGGAAGATGAAATACGCACTTTGACAGGAGAACCGCACCGATCGTGTCAGGGTAAGGGCTTGAGAGCAAGCGCGATGTGCGCTTGGTATTGTAACGACGAGGCGAATGAGGGCTTGAGAGCAAGCGCGATGTGCGCTTGGTATTGGAACGACGAGGCGAATGAGGGCTTTCTAACGTATCCATAATCGAGGGAAACGGCGCAGGTACGGGCGAGATACGAGCTAGATATGATTTTGATAAGGTTGCAAGGAGGGGAAGATGAAATACGTACTGTGAGAGGAGAACCGCACCGATCGTGTCGAGTAAGGGCTTGAAATGATTCTGACGAATGGGGCTTTCGAACGTATCCGGAATCGAGGGAAACGGCGCAGGTACGGGCGAGATACGAGCTAGATATGACTTTGATGAGGTTGCAAGGAGGGGAAGATGAAATACGCACTGTGAGAGGAGAACCGCACCGATCGTGTCGGGTAAGGGCTTGAGAGCAAGCGCGATGTGCGCTTGGTATTGTAACGACGAGGCGAATGAGGGCTTTCTTATGTATCCATAATAGAGGGAAACGGCGCAGGTACGGGCGAGATACGAGCTAAATATGACTTTGATAAGGTTGCAAGGAAGGGAAGAGGAAATACGCACTGTGAGAGGAGAACCGCACCGATCGTGTCGAGTAAGGGCTTGAAATGATTCTGACGAATGGGGCTTTCGAACGTATCCGGAATCGAGGGAAACGGCGCAGGTACGGGCGAGATACGAGCTAGATTTGACTTTGATAAGGTTGCAAGGAGGGGAAGAGGAAATACGCACTGTGAGAGGAGAACCGCACCGATCGTGTCGAGTAAGGGCTTGAAATGATTCTGACGAATGGGGCTTTCGAACGTATCCGGAATCGAGGGAAACGGCGCAGGTACGGGCGAGATACGAGCTAGATTTGACTTTGATAAGGTTGCAAGGAGGGGAAGAGGAAATACGCACTGTGAGAGGAGAACCGCACCGATCGTGTCGAGTAAGGGCTTGAAATGATTCTGACGAATGGGGCTTTCGAACGTATCCGGAATCGAGGGAAACGGCGCAGGTACGGGCGAGATACGAGCTAGATTTGACTTTGATAAGGTTGCAAGGAGGGGAAGATGAAATACGCACTGTGAGAGGAGAACCGCGCCGATCGTGTCGATTAAGGGCTTGAAATGATGCTGACGAATGGAGCTTTCGAACGCTAGCAAACGCTTAATGGCGTGCACAGCGAATCCTATGGTAGTGCGCTGTTAGTCTGAATCTCCTCCTGGAAATGGGAGACTGGACTTAGAAGGTCGGTAAGCTAGTACATTGGTTATCTCGTACTATGTATAATTCATAGAGACCTGCGGGTATACCCTCCGTGGGTCGTACCCCAGGTCTGGTACCCGTTGAAAACACTAAGGATAGGGGAGACTAATACATTACTAACTAACCCTGTCCAGCGTTAAACTCGTTCCTAGCAACTCGACGATGGGAGTAGTAAGGCTGAACTTACCACATGTTAGCGCTCGCTCGTTGAAGTCAAAAGCATTCGAGTTTGTTAACAAGGACGGATGAAGTTTTGGTCGACGCGATTTCAAGTCGAAAACATTCCAAGTCCAATATTTGTATGTGTTTGCGTATTGTCACGTGCACTCAGCGTTTGCGACGCGGCTTGCCAAACAACGACAAACATAGTTGGTTTATCAACAACGCGCCATTCAGTTCCCACGGTTTGTTTTCTCAACCGCACTTACATCTTATGATCTCTGTTCTTATGGCCGTCACTCCTTTGGGCCCTTGCAGACTGCAGCTGCAAGGGTTCAAAGGCAACGCCTTGAAGTACAGGTATGTTTCTGTCTCCATTCAACCATCTACTGACTTGTTTGCCTTTTTGACGTCTAGGAACCTTTCTGGCAGTCCCCCATTGGGGACTGCCGTCTCTTTGAATTTGCCTGGCGGTGCATTTTAATTCCTATCCTTAAC